TTAGGTATTTAAAACCTTAATTAAGTACTAACCTAGTGACAAAGCGCGATCACAATGCCAGTAAATCACATGCAGAGGTTTGCACCGGAGCGAGATTTTAACAACCGATTGAATTCACCGGTGATTGGGCAATCTCCGGTAAAAACCGGAGATCACCGGAGAATAAAGAAATTTTGTTTCTATTTTTTAATTATACATTCAAAATTATGAAATAAGAATAAGCGATTGATATACTTTATATTATAATCATTTATTAAGAAAAAAAAACGTTTTATATTGTTAGCAAATGCTGATTTTGATTTAAGAAACACAACATGTCAACAGCATCATAGCGTAACATGTTTCTTCTATCGTTTAGTATCTATTTATTTTTATTTTACTTATTTTATTTTATTATTTATTTATTAAATTTATTTTATTTACCTATTTTTTATTCTATTTAGATTTATTTGAAGAATATGCGCAAAGGATGAATTTTCTGACGAAGAACCAGAAGGTGATTGTGCTAGAAATATACCAAAAAAGCAACCCATAGTAATGAGCAATGAAAAAGGAATGCAAACAGAAAATTACAAAAATAATCACGAACATTGCAACAAATTATTTGGCCAGTTACTTGCTAGTGAAATGAATCACATAAACGGACAAGACCGTTTTGAATTAATGACTGAAAAAATAATATAATTAGAAAGAAACAAGGTTGTAAATAAGTGGCATGTTAAATAATTGTATAAAACAAAATATTGTTGAATGTGTCTTTTATTTGTGTTACTTTATTATATAAAAAAATAGATGCGACGATCACCGGAGATCAATCGGTTAAATACCGATTATTTCAATCGATTACTTTTACCGGTAAATCACCGGTTATTCTCCGGTACTCACTGCTCCGGTGCAAACCTCTAATCACATGGCATTATCTACCAGTCAACATATTTTTGAGCAATAAATGTAATAATTAGGTAATTATAGTTGGACGGAATTGAGAATGGTCTCAAAATTACCATTTTTATTGATTTTTATTTTCGTAAACCAGAAAAACGAAAAACGTAGACAAAAGCTTCAGTTAGAAGTTGCTCCAGAAACTTTGTCAGAATTTTATCTTTTATCTGACTGACAGACTGACAGATCTCTATTTGGCACAAAATTCAAAAATGGCAAAATTGAAAAATGTTATTTAAAATATTAATATAACTTTAAAAATGACTAAAGTAAATTAATAACTCCACCTCAACGATGTAAAAACTTGTTTCAATGTTATGCCTGCTTTTTAAATTTTTCTGCAAATTCAACGCTGAAACCACAGTTCAGCCCAAGTAGTATTTCATTATGTTAATGGACCTTGAAGCTTACGAGACAGATGATGAGTCTACGTATTCATTCACAAATGTTCAAAATGAGAGGAGTTCAGGCGAGCAAGCTAAAGTTAAGGAAAGTGATTTAGGTGACTACCTGGACCCAGACCTTACCCTTGCGTGCCAGACGAAGAAGGCTGATCCTTTCTGTGTGCGCTCGCGTCCAGCGTCGTCGAAGAAAGTGGACAACGAGCAGAAAGCCATAGATGCTATTAACTGCTCTCAATGTAAAGATTCTGCGGAACAGCTATATCATGTCAACTATGTATGTTATTTTAGAAAACCATTCCTTAATTTACACGTTTTAAGTGTAATTTTCCGCACAGGCAATTAATCCATCATTTGTTCTAGGATACTATATTAAAACTCAAAGAAAGCACAAGGAAGCTGCTTTGTGTTCTAGAAGAGATACAATCCAAAACACACGCTAAGAATTTCAATCCCAACGATGCCTTCAACTTGAGTAAACTTTTGAAACCTATCCCCCAATCAAATGAGGTTTGTGATTCAATTTTGTACTTACGTATGCCGAAAGTTCTGTCGAACAGTTAGAACTTAAGGTTCCTAAAAGCCCTCATAAATTAATTACAGTTGCCGTCCGTCACTGATGTAATCGGAGCTAACGCAATAAAAAAACTTGAAGCACAAGCCAAAACTTTGGATTCAATTTACATACAGGTATAACTTTATCACGATATTAGGTGTCCTAAAATAGATGAAGCCAAGACGAATAGACGCATCGAACAAGCCTATTTCTTAGGCCCTAATTGGACATACTTAATCAGCCTTGTTACATGCGTCTAATGGTGCGTTCACACTGGGCGAACGAGCTCGCGCGGCAAACTTGACATCCTGCTCACCCTGCTCTTAAATAGAGCAGGATGTCAAGTTTGCCGCGCGAGCCCGTTCGCCCAATGTGGACGCACCCTTAAGCCAATGTAGGTACTTCCGTGTCCGGTGTGCAGTGTGTGTGTCGCGCTAATTTTGGCACATCCTGTATATTGATGAATTTTCCAGGAAGAAGAAGACGACTGTTCAATATACAAAAGGCTGACTAGAAAGTGTCACTGTATGAACCAACACGAGTACAATGACTTCATCATACACTTCAACGAAGACACGAAATACCGCACCAGTATGGCGGGAGAAATCATCAAGAACTTGCGAATACTCAAAAAGTTTCTGTACATGAATGGAGGATACACTAAAAATGCGCTTTTATTTTTAAATGAAGTAAGTGCATTCAGTTTTAAAACGAATGCTTCGTTTTCTGTGCCAGCGTGCTATCGTGCGTTGCGCGGAATAGCTTTGAACGTAGTTGATCCCGGATTCGATTTCTGGTTTGGTCAAAATCGGATTTAGGCTTTATTGTTTGGTAACTGGATGTTTGTTTAGATGACTACCTATTTATGGGTTCGTTTTCTACAGGGTCTTTCAGATTGCTCGCACACTGAAAAAGTTGAAATAACCCAAGGCTGCGCCCATGCTGATTTATGCAACGTATTCGATGAGCATTCCATAGTTGTAAATTACATTTCGTGGCCATGTAAAAACGACTATTATGGAGATGCTGTAACTCAGGTAAGAAAAAAATTAATGAAGTCGGTATAAATAAATAGTACGAGAAAACTTTTCTAGTTCTAGTTTTGGAATAAAACTCTACACGAATATTTCAGGCATTAACAGCTGGATTTCTTTACAAGCTTGTGCAACTTGAAGAAGGAAGAAGATACTTAAATTTCAGTTCAAAGGTTTCTAACGATATTAAGAAAGTCATCAGAAAAAAGTCTGCGTTTATAGAATTCGAGACGGTAGAATCTCTAAATGCCACCCTAAACTTGTTGAATCCACCGTTGAGTCAGAATATAAATGTAACCTACTACTGCAAGCCAATCGATGAAGGTAAACAAAAGAAGTTTATTACCAGGACCCAAAGCGAGGGCCGCACTTGGCCTCAAAGTCAAACTACACTTTTCTTAGGCCACGATCAAAGCAGATTTGATATTAGAAATAAGTCTTGCCAAGCAGACTTTATTGACGAAATTTGAACACCGTACGAAACATTAGAAAATTGTTATGTATTTCGGAGTGCTTGTAACATAGTTTAGGTAAAGAAATCATATGAATAAGGTAATCACTTTCAGCGAATGTTACAACTTTTACGGAGATCCTTATTTTTAGGTGTTGGAAAGAAAACAGTGCACACTTTAGTACAATATCGGCAGTTCATGACATTAGACGAAGTTTTTACTCATTTGGAACTTTTGCACAATATGAGCAACCGAGAATCGGGGAAGTTCGAACTGATGTCGTTTTTACCAACTTTACTGCTTTTGTTCAAGCGTCTGCTCGTGGAGTTCGATAACAGTGAAATGAACATATTAGTGACGAATATACTGAATAACGTTGTATCCAAAAATGTAGTCAAAGAAAAGGATTCGGATTCGCCTAAAACTCTTATAATCGCTGACACAGCAACTGAGGTAATAAACATATAGCTACCATTTAAATAATTCTTCTCCACGATTATAAATATTTTTTAGAAATCTATTAAATATTTTACTTTCAGCCTATTCAAATGAAGACTCAGACATCCCAAATTCCGATAAAGAAAGGTAATACAAGAAAAACTAACAAATCGAAATTATGTTTGGGTATAACTCCTCATAAATTCCGAAACACTTCAAAACGCAAAGGTAAGCCATTAAAGGATAAAATACTTTTTACATAAAAACAAGATAAGTAATATTGTGTACTTAATACTTATTTTCTTTAGTTTCAGAGCATCAATCTGCCCATCCTGAACCTCCATCAGCTTCTAATTTTGATGCTTCAGGATTACTCAGTAGATCCAGAAAGTTCAGTAGAGGTAATTATTAAACTTCTTTCAAATAAACTGTTCAAAGTAACATTTAGAACCAATAAGCATTTCATACATCATAAAAAACGTTTTTTATAATTTCCAGAATTTGTTGGAATAATTCCCAATAATTTGATCATTTAACTGGTTCTGGAAACATCATTAATATCGATTTTTATTCTATTTTTCAGATGTAAGAAGTTCTGTAATAGTGGTCCCCATTGAAGAAAAATTCGAATTATTATAGAACAAATTATACATATATTTACTCAAAGTAAAAAGAAAAGCATATCACAAACAAACAAATTGCTAAAGTAACAAGTATAAAAACTAAAGTCTAATAAAATCATAATATAAAAGTCAGTCACACATAATCTAAGGGTACTGTGTAAACCCAGGGTTTCTGGCATAATCAATAAATTATACCAGATTGTGATAAATCATACCAGGGTGTACATAGTTCCAGTTTTCAAAATTTGGTATTAAATTTCACAAGCACTTTAAATGACTATTAGACAACACCCAACAAAAAATAAATAAATAATAATGATAACATCTAATAAGGACAATATTAACAGTCAAAATACATCCAAATAATCTATTGAGTGTCACTATCACAATGCTGTAATTTTAAGTATAAAATTTAAATAAATTACCAATAACAATAATATATTACTTTACTGTATACACAAATAGTTTTATTTATGAGGAATATTATTATTTTACAAAATTATTACAAAAATGTTTTATTTTAGGAAAGAGAAAGTGATGTATCATAATATAGCTTTCTTCTGCTTAGCTTTGAATATTTGGTTAGTACAAAAACTGAAGGAATGTTAAATGGGAATTTGTAACTTTGTTACCAGCTATGAGAAAAATTATACACATTTTTGTACAATTTTTTAACCAAGCACCAATCTATTGAAATTCATTATTGCCCAATACCTATATGATATTTTATCCATAAATTATATTTAATGCATTGTATTGTAATATAACTATGATAACCTTCATGATGCAAGCTGAAATATGAAGTTACAATTGATACCTACATTAAATGCTAGTGGAACCTTTTAAATGCAATACAAATCATTTTATGAATGATTAATATAAAAATAAAAATGTATTCTTAACATCAAGTACTTAGTACAAATATTCAAAATCAATCAAACTGTCCATCGTCATTGAAGTGGCTACTGCGATGTTGATAGCGCTGGTTATAAGCAATGCTGCGTTTATTCGGTGGAACTGGGTTGCTTGGCTTGAAGAACATAGCCAACAGTATGTAAAATCCTCCAACTATTTTACTGAAGAAGTCTAACAAACCCAGAAACATGGGTGTAGAATTTTTTATCAGTATTGACATTTCTCTTATCAATGCCAAAATAAAGTTTCCTAGGAAGTTCACAAATGCAGTACTTCCAGTAAATATTGCTATTATAAAAGCAAACAAAAAGGTCACAAATTCTTTAACATTACTGATGGATAAAGCACTCTTTAATGTTACAACTATATCATTGTAAGTCTCACTCAATGTTTCAACACTGCTATCTGGTTTTGTGTCATTCGCTTCTTTGATTTTCTTTATGCTTGATCTAGTCAGTAATGGTTCAATCTCCAAAAATGATTCTGAAATATACCTGATGCATTTTAGGCTTACCATAATTTCCACATCTCTGAATTTAATACTTTTGATTTGAAACCAAAAAGGTCCGAATGGTTGGTTTTCTATCTCCGTACAAAGACACAAACCGGACGTGTTGATCTCCAGTGTTTCAGACTCCGCGATGCCTATCCAAGTATTAGGGTATGCAGACCTTAAGGAGTACTGGGCTTCTACTAAATCTCTCTTCAACTCGACTTCGGCGGCACTCACTAATATAATATCACGGTATCCAATCTTCTGGTCAATTAAACGCCTTTCAATGTAACGGCCTAAGAAAATGCGAGCCTTCAATAACTCTTTGACGAAATGTTTAGCCTTTGCTGTTTCCATGTCGTCTTGGCTATCAATATGGGATGACGCCACTGAAGATGAGTTGAATGATGAGGTTTGCTGTAAACGGCTCATTTTTATTATAAAAATACTTTTGAGGAAATAACAAACAACAAAACAAACAGATGACACATAAAAGAATCTTACTATTTTAACGTTCCGTGAGAAACGACCAAGACGACATAATTTTATTTGACAAAGAAATTTTATTATGATTAAATTACATTTCTTTGACAATTTTTCATGTTTTTCTAACACGAGAAACAATTTTCTACGAAAAAGCTTTCATTTTGATACATTTCAACATATATTTAATTTTATAAATTTTTACATTAATCGTTTAAATAATAACGATATTGACATTGACAATGACAGTCATGACATTTACTTTTTTTTCGTGCAATTAGTCCGGGATCGAGGCAATTGCTATTGATCCAACCAAACTTTGGCTCACTTTAGTTGAATTTTTTGCGTTCCAAAGTTTATTATTCAATTTATGAATTTGATTTCCTACCTAATTAAATCTTTATTTCCATGCATTTCTCTCAATCCATTTGGAGTACAGGCCTCTATTCTAATTTGGATACAGAACCGGCCGAGTTTTAGCGGAGGCCCTAATAACAAGGCATGCGTTGATCAATAAAACAGAAGATAAACAAGAGGAGGGGTATAATGTTTAAAATTAAACAAATGAATGCTTTATGAAATTTGTACAATTTATTCAATGCAATACAGATATTGAAAAGGTATTACCAGGGAGGTATTAAAATATGTTCTGAGTATTTACAACATGGCATTATGTAGATATTTAGTTTCACTGATAAAACAATCATTCCACGAAGGAACTTAAATATCTCTACGCCTAATAAAATTAACAATAACTAAATAGCTTTTAACTTGCTACAAGGTGTTATAATAATAGCCTGACTGTAAATAAAACTAAAATATCAAGCAGGTACAAGTTGGCTGAAAATATCAGGAAGACAATGTTAATATGGCTGTAATTAAAACGTTATTTAATTATGGTATTGCAAGATTCTTAAGCTCGGGCTACATACAATTCATTAATACGAATATTCGAAACTAGAAATACAATAAAATTGTTTGCTATAAGTCTCTGAGATAACTACAGGATTTACATAATGTTACTCTCAACTCTCTTTTACGATTAATAAAATTAAATGTTCTTGAAAATATTTTTTCTTATTTCAGTAATATTAAAGTTGCTTATTCGTTTATCAAGTAACGATAGGCACACAATTAGACAAGTTTGAAAACTTACTTAGTGGGAATGATATGATAAATAAAAATTGCCATAGTTTGCAAACAATTATAAAATAATGTAGACTTGTTAGTCTAAAAATAAATTGATTGCATCATAAATGTCTGAGTGAGAGATAGATAGGAAGAAAGAGAGAGAGAGAGATAGAGAAAGGTATAAACTTAACAATATATCAAAAACAGATAAATCAATACTTACAACGTCAGTAAAATCACACATATTGGATGCGATGCGACATAATATTTAGAAAGACTAGTTTTATGAAACATTTATTTCTACGTGTGCAGTGACGAGACAAAGAGGTACTTAACATGTATTCTAATGAATTTGGCTGAAAGAAATTGAGATTACAAAGAACTTTCTTTAGACAATGCATCGAAAATTAGCATACCCGCCCAAATGGCAAAAATTACGAGGCTCATTCCAGAAGACACTTTAACGCTAATATATAAGACGGAGTAAAACCTGCAATAAATATTGAAAGTGCATTTTAACACTTCTCATAAAATATGTAAACTCAATACAGTTTACAAATCCTTATCATAGTAGAAACCACAAATTCTCCTAACTAGCCGTAAGTACTAAGTGTACTTAATAAATCTAACTATATTCATAATTATGTAATACCACAGTAAATCTTTACTTCTGCACTTTACACATTCACAACCACTTTAAAGATTTGTTATAGTTTGTTTTTTCGTTGTGAACATAAGATAGCAATTTGCTGACGAAACTATAAAATTGACTTTTTGTGTTACTGGCAAAGAATTTTTGAAGAATAGCTACAATAAAATTTTACAGACTCCAAATGCGACTGTGAAAAGTGTAAAAGAAGAGTCATTAATAATTTAGCCAGTCAATTTTGGAGTCATAAAGCACCCTGTTTAACGTTTAGGCCATTAAACGTTTAAAGAATATTTCTTTAGAACAAGCCTTTTCCGCTTATGGCGCTTATATGCCATATTATACACTCTCAAATATTAATTTACACAATAGTGTTTCATTACAAATAAAGTTTACACAGCCCGTGGAGGGACTTTTCAAGACATTAATTTAAGTACACATTTTATCAACATTCGAACACGCAATAAAGTCTCACGAATACGCAAATCATATTAACAATCAAGTCTTCTTAAAACATTTGGTTCAATTTATTTCAATAACTAGTTTCTAAAAATGCCAAAATTACATTAATATTTTAAGATTACGCTAATTTTGCCACCGCGTCGAGTTTAAGATAGCTCGTCCTGAATCACAATTAAAATCTAGTTAAAACATTAACGATATGAATAGGTTATGTCAGATGACGCCAATGAGGCGTCGTTTCATAATGTCATTCGCTATAAAAGCCTGCAGAGTTGCTACTGCATTTGAATTAGAGATTACACAAAGGCGAGGTCTAGGCCTCGTTCGATTGTCGTTAAACAATCAATATTAGGAAGTACGCGGCGTTCGAGAGCTTCAGCTTTTTTGAAATACCACTGTTGCTCTCGCGCCAATCGTATGACCGACAGGACGCCGATAAGAAGAAATCACATGCAGTCGTCTATTAGAAGTTATTTTACGATGAGGAAGCCGTGCACACTGGCTAGGAACTTATCGAAGTTGTCCTGGAAGCGCAGTTTGTGTGGGCGGAGGCCGTCGAAGAGGACTCCGTTGGTGAGTATGCCGAAGGCTTCTTCGAGTCGCGGCACGCTGGCGGGGTCGTTGACCGCGAAGGCCTCGATCAGCTGACGCGCGAGGCCTTCTAGTAGCGCCGGTTTGACGCACGTGAGCGCGTATATAGCGGCGCCCGCGGCTGGGATGGAGTCCGGAGGGATTTCCATCTTGATGATCAGCATGAGTAACAGTTCAGCTAGGGTTAGAAGGGACAAAGCGAATGGGTTGTCGTCACCTAGCGTGCGCGCTTTGTTGGCGAGCCCGACTATGGTGTCGCAGCAGAGGGTTGACACGTCGTACGAGACAGCGGTAAGTCCAACGCGTAGTGCCGTCACCACCATGTTGTAGTCTCCGATCGGAAGTGTAGTTAACTGCGGACAGAAAATAAGTTGCGTTAATTATAAAACAGTGGCGTTCTGGCAATGGCTATAATTAGGAATAGTTCTTTTTTTCTGGCCGAATGGGTTATTTGAGACTCCTCGCCGGAAAGGCGAGGCCTATCCACTACATCCCGATGATGCCCTCCGGGGCCATGGAAACGGAAATGCGTCTCGCGTGTGACGTCACGTGCTGACGTCACGGCAGAGGGCACGCACCTGGTCGGCGGCGTCCAGGTCGCGCAGCATCCTGTAGGCGTGGTGCGCGAGCGTGGGCAGCGCCAGCAGTGTCGCGTGTGACGTCACGTGCTGACGTCACGGCGGAGGGCACGCACCTGGTCGGCGGCGTCCAGGTCGCGCAGCATCCTGTAGGCGTGGTGCGCGAGCGTGGGCAGCGCCAGCAGTGTCGCGTGTGACGTCACGTGCTGACGTCACGGCGGAGGGCACGCACCTGGTCGGCGGCGTCCAGGTCGCGCAGCATCCTGTAGGCGTGGTGCGCGAGCGTGGGCAGCGCCAGCAGTGTCGCGTGTGACGTCACGTGCTGACGTCACGGCGGAGGGCACGCACCTGGTCGGCGGCGTCCAGGTCGCGCAGCATCCTGTAGGCGTGGTGCGCGAGCGTGGGCAGCGCCAGCAGTGTCGCGTGTGACGTCACGTGCTGACGTCACGGCGGAGGGCACGCACCTGGTCGGCGGCGTCCAGGTCGCGCAGCATCCTGTAGGCGTGGTGCGCGAGCGTGGGCAGCGCCAGCAGTGTCGCGTGTGACGTCACGTGCTGACGTCACGGCGGAGGGCACGCACCTGGTCGGCGGCGTCCAGGTCGCGCAGCATCCTGTAGGCGTGGTGCGCGAGCGTGGGCAGCGCCAATAGCGCCGGCGTAATGAGTGGTAGTAGCAGGCGCAAACCACGCGCACATGTCTCGCCGACGCCGACGGCGCCTGGTGACGTGGTCGTCCGCTGTGCCCCGCTACGGGCGATGCAGCATATCATTTCCATTAGCGCGCAGATGTCCTGGAAAGTCCATACATAAATAAGCTTGGTCCAAAATCCATTCGAAGACAAAAATCACTCGAGTCTTCAGAGATAGAAAGTTGGATGCAATTTAATTAGGGACAGGCGTCTTTCAAGCGTAGGGTATGGTGGGGCACAATGTTACACGGGGTACAATGTTACAATGCATATTTCTCCGTCCCTTTCTATTAGTTATATGATGTTGGTATACACGTTTGTCAACCTCATAAGAGCTGCTGAACTGAGCCGCTGAACTATCAAATATAGAAAGGGACGGAGAAATATGCATTGTAACATTGTACCCCGTGTAACATTGTGCCCCACCTTACCCTAGTCATCTTAATTATCCACGCCCACGCAGCGTCAACGCGGCCACCAACGCAGCTACGCCAAAACTACGTAGATCCGACGATCGGCTGTATTGGCGACGCCAGCGCTACATAGATTCGGCGATCGGATTTTTTTTTATCCACAACGAGGAAGCTCTTGGCCTGCATCTCACCTGATTGGCGTCACTGCAACACTGACCCCCGTATTCACAAACATTACTATGAGGTTTGACAGTGCGCGTGGACGCACAGGGTGACACACAAACCAATCAAAGAGCTCTATTCAACGCTGTGCGTTCGATTTGCTACTTCACTTAAGCAAGCATCGTTTGTGAATACGGGTGTGAGTCAGCGCCGCTTCAACGCTGCGCGTGTACGAGCAATATGACTACGCTCGAAAGACGCTACTATGGCGGAGGCCTTACCTCATAAGCTTCTTCTTCGGCATCTTGCGGAATGCTTGATATTTTCCCGGAATTCCACCTCATGTATACTTCAAATGTAGTATTGCACACTTCTAGGAACCTATTGGAACAAATAACAATTACTAAACATAACTTTTAGTTGACTTGAAATATTTTATGGCAATTTTATTCAAAAAGCTAAGCAACAAGATTTTATAACGTGTAAGTTAAGTCATTGATCTCGGCTGTTGTCGACGCTTTTTCCAATGAAGAAGAAACAACTTTATTCCACCGCAATAAGAATCATCGACGTACTTGTTGACATTCTGCGGCTGTACCGAGTGTAGCATCCGCTTGGCGCTCTTCGCCAATAGATTGAGAGCTGGCAACACCACGCCAGGGTAGTTATGGTAGCGGAATATGATCCCGGGGACCTTGTCTATGGCGCCGATCAGCATCATAAACTGCTCGTCCATTGTTCCCACCTAAAAAACAAATGACGACATTTTTCTCCCAAAAAAGTAATATTTTCTGCCTTCGACGCTGATAAATAACTTCTTGGACGTGTACATGGAAATGTCATGGAAAGTTCTAGGCGCTGTACAAATAGTAAGGACATCAAAATGATTTTAACTCTTCTTCTTCTCTATGGATATTGTGTTTCGACGTTTGAAGTCACGTGAGCATGCATAGCCATTACACGGTAGTAAAAATATAAACCTTGGGTTTGAGTAGGTAGTTTGGTATAGTCTAGCGTGCACATCTAGATTTTAACTTTACATACTTGGAAAAAATATTATAAGACAGCAAGGTTATTCTTAAAAAATAGAGATTGTGATTTCTGTTCTCATTCAAGTATTACCTGACATTCATAGTTTCAAATTACGAGTGATAGAGTGAATACGTCTATATTATGCACTAAAATATTCTACCTCAAGCATTCCTTCAGTGACTCCAATGAAGCAATCCAAAGTGTCCGCTAGCATGTTTCGCACTGGCTCGGTATCGGATTCCATGTTGATCAGGTTCATAAGCTTCTCCTGTAGCGCTACCGTGCTGGATAGTAGACGATTCCTTACATCTCCTAGGGATATAAAACAGTTTATTTAAATACAAGGTTGAAATTCTCGTGCTATGCTCGGAGTTTCCCTGCGTGATCGAATCAGAAATGAGGAGATCCGTAGGAGAACCAGAGTGACTGACATAGTCCGCAGAATTGCTAAAATCAAGTGGCAGTGGGCGGGGCACATAGCTCGAAGAGCTGATGGCCGCTTAGTAGGGAATTTAGTGCAAGAACCCCTCCACTTTGGTATAGAAGGCTCATTTTTACAATAGTGGTTCTTTGGGTGCTCCTGAGTGGATTTCCGTCGGTAGACATCGGGAGCCCCCCCTGTGGTAGCAGGGGGAGGGGGGGCAAGTTTCCTTCCGCCGCGCTTCACTTTAAGGCCCATATCTTCAAAACTATGGGTATTATAGCAAGTGTGGTATCATTTTCGGATAATTGAAGGATGGCGAATTTATTTCTAGAACAAACTTTTTGCCTTTTCATACAAAAAAATTGAAATATTGAGTAAAATTCACAAAAACCAAAAAGTATTTTTTTAATTCTTTTTTATTTTTTTAATCAAGGGATTCGCGTATAGGATCAGGTGCAAGCAACCGACTCGAGTCTTCCCTTTACCCGACTGGTTGGGGGTGGACCAGAGTCGATAGCAAGATGGAGCCTACATGGACCGGTTTGCCCGTAGCTGCCGAGGCTTGCCTGGAAATGGTGAGATGTAAGTGCAAGAAGTAGACTAGTGCAGAAGCTGGTGCTGTCTGAAAAAAACAACTAAAAAGGTCACAGCCGTAACCTTTGTGCTAAAAATATTCCTGTACTATGATTGTGANTGAACGAAAGGAAATTAGGGCCGGTTTCCAGTTCCACCAAGCGAAGCCAATCCGATTTCATTATGGATTCATTCATTATTGGAGAATGATCTGACTGGTCATTCAAAACATTTCTCCGCTCCGCTACGCATTGGTAGAAACCGGGCCTTAATCGCTTCCATCTTCCATCAGGCGAGATGGAAGCCGAGAGCTTTCCCAGGATGGTAAAAAAAACCTGGTGAAAAAAGGGCAAGTATGATAAGTTGATAAAAACAAACGTATATTTTTGAAGCAATGCATTCAATTTTATTGTCTAGAGTCATCCTTTAATCATTATCCTATTCTGGATCATAAAGGTACGAGTATTTTGGCAGTTGAATTCTTTTTATGCAAGAGAAGGCAGGTATTTGACCGCAATCGCACCTGGTGTTAAGTGAGATGTAGTCTAGGATGGTACATATCTGCCCTGTAAGTGCCTATTCACTCTCGCCTTGTTTATTAATGTTCTTTTTCACTAACCTTCAGCATAAGTGGCACAGATGGCGAAAGCTCTGTGCAACTCTTTCCTCAGTTCACCGGGCAGGTTGTTCCCGGAAGCTTCCCACGCTACCAGGTTGAGGAACTCCTCGCAACTGGCCAGGGGGTTTTGTCTGAAAACACATCGAACATGTTTATTGAAGAATGTGGAAGTATACACTTTACCAAATGAAAGGCACTAGACAGACTTAGGCCTGCCGTACACGGTCAGCTAGAAGCAGCTATTATCAACAGCTTCAAACTACGACTGCATAGCCAACTACAATTGATAGTGTCCGACCGAATGTTCGGTTTCGGTTTCGTTTTCGGTTGAGTTTCGGTAAAAACACGAGTTTCGGTTTAGTTTCGTTTTCGGCGGCAAACTTGCCGAAACTACGACCGAAACCGAATGTGCATTCGGGAGTTTCCGCGCTGTTATCGGTCATGTTCGGCGCGTTGAATAAGTGAATGAATCCGATCAGAGCCAATGTCGTAATTCACTCGCTTGTTTGTTTGCTGTTAGTTTTGTTTTGTTGTGGTGTCGAGTTTTCGAGTGATTTATTTTGAATTTGGTATGTTTTATCTCATTTTATGTCGTTATAACATAAGAGCGGGTGTAAACATAAAAAATATTCAATATGACTGATAAAAGTATAATCAAGTTTAATCTAACCTATACATTTTTTTTTGGTTCGCAAATGCTATACGTAAACAAACATTAGTTAAGTAGTAATAACTATAATAGTAATGGCTATCTAGTGCATTTCATGGTGATAATATTATGGATTCAGTTTCAAAGTTCATTTTAGTAGGTATTTATCACCAAGGTATCCAAGTGGCAAGTACAGTAGATACTAACTTACGTACCTACTACCAATTTTGTTTTGAGAAATTAAGGTAAAAGACCCGACCATGGGACGGGTTATGTAGATGTCCTGAATATTGCGAGTAATTAAATAAAATCTAGACTATAAATCCTTCTTTTTCTTTTTTAATACATAATTTGATACCTTTTAGAGTAAAAAGGCACTTTTAGTTCAATTTTAATGCAATTCAAAGAGAAAATAATAAAGACTGATTATAATAACTGAAATTTTTCCCTCAAAATATGAGCCTTGTAAGGAATTTTCGGTTTCGGTTTCGGTTTCGGCCGAAATAGACACCGTTGCCGAAATTCGTTTTCGGTTTCGGTTTCGGTCGTAAAACTTGTTTCGGTCGGACACTAACAATTGAAATGTCAACTATTTAAAACTGTCCAAGAATGACAGTTTTTGTACAATGTTCGCTTAAATGGTTTAAAATCAGATTATTAATGGTACCTATAACGTTAGTAGAACTACAGTCTATTGAATATACAGAAAAAGCCACCGTAAAAGTTATACTTACGTTATATGTACCATAAAATCTGATTTTTTATGTATGATATTTGGGCAATAATTAGAAGTATTTTCCCCAACAGGCAGACAGGTTTGACAGTTCCAACTCCTTGCCAGATAGTTTTTTTAGGGTAGCTCCCAAAGCCACGATGACCCAAACTTCATAATTCACCAACATTATATCCTTTATTGGGAGCATACGCTGACAAACTTTCAGATTGTATAAAATGACGTAGGTCTGGCGTTCACTAGCTCTTAGTCTATTTAGTATTTGCCCAGGGTCCTAAACTCACGGTCCAGCCCTAGACACGAACTTGACCGTACATACTTGTGCTGCGCGTGCGCGAGGGTAGTCAGCAGCTGCAGCGCCTGCGCGGCGGCGGCGGGGGTCCTAAACAAATGGCCGGCCCTGGACTTGACCGTACTGTTAATTACGAGAAATCTAAAACGTTAAAATAACGGTATCGTTGTGGCCAATGAGATGCTGTCATAGTGATATGGACGTAGGATCAAACGTCTGAATAGAGGGACGCGCGGAGACGACTCCGCGCGCTTTTGTGCTAAGTGATAATTGTATCTAAAATAAGGTAATATAATGTGAAAGATGAGTATCCAGTAGAGATGGGTTATACTAGGTAAATTTGATACTAGGTGCACCTATTCCTAGTATTTATTAATACTCGATCCAAATACCTATTCCTCCTAGTACGTAGTAATTTAGCATACTTGACGCGACTAGTGCGGACTAATCCACGTAATAGGACTTTAAAATACAATTTTCTTTGAAAAGATACAACCGTAGTATGAATACTTCTACAGGCTTAGGACTGTCAACTTAAAAGTTGGCGTATTTAAAAGATATCAATTTCATAAAAATATTTACATATTTTTTCTTATTTACATGAATATGGTTTGACTGCGTTTGTGTGCGTTTGCTTCGTCGCGCTCAAATTTGTTTGGTTAGACAGAGACGGAGTGAATCTCTACGTTCGCACATAAGCTTAGCGAGAAATACTAGGTGCGCGTAATACACGACTACGGATTACGCAATAATAACCTCTATTACTTTGATGGTAGGGTCGGAAATCGTGTAATTTATAAAATACTAGATGGATCAAGTATTTAGTAGTCTTCGCCTAGTACTGTAAAATACCTAGTGTGTGGATCTGTTCTAGTAAATACGTCTCATCTCTAGTATCCAGTGTTTTATTTATGAGAATAGATCTACCGGCCTTTAATAGTACATACTTGTGCTGCGCGTGCGCGAGGGTAGTCAGCAGCTGCAGCGCCTGCGCGGCGGCGGCGGGGGTCCTAAACAAATGGGTGGCCCTGGACTTGACCGTACATATGTGATGTATGTACTAACAACCCTTGTATTAATGTGTATGCTCATTTATCCTATAGATATAAGTCGCTTCATTGTATTTTAGCATTCATTAAATAAACGGGATTGACTCAGTTCGGGTGTTTGATTATGAACTCCTCATATGGCGACCCATGCCATTCGAGCTGACCGCGCGTGTGTCTAAAGTACTCGACCGTACATACTTGTGCTGCGCGTGCGCGAGGGTAGTCAGCAGCTGCAGCGCCTGCGCGGCGGCGGCGGGGGTCCTAAGGCCTCAGCCTCGAATTTAGCGGGCAGCGGAGCGGCGGCGGTAGCGGCAGGATCTTATGCGTAAAATCAAATAGACCGGTTCTTGAAAACAGCGGCGCGGGAGCGGGCAACGAGCGGGCAGCGCACTCCTTCTTTTGCCCACAATAAATCAAGGGTTAGGAATAAATTTGAATCGAAATAAAATTGTCGCCGTTGTTCAGACATTTCGTTTGCGAATAAAAACAAATATCTCGACAACACAAATCCGAACACAACACATCACCGCTAAAGCGCCGCGCTTGTTTCGAGAACGGGTCTGCGTTGCCCGCCCCGCTCCCGCGCCGCTGCCCGCTAAATTCGAGGCTGAGGCCTAAACAAATGGGCGGCCCTGGAGTTGACCGTACATACTTGTGCTGCGCGTGCGCGAGGGTAGTCAGCAGCTGCAGCGCCTGCGCGGCGGCGGCGGGGGTCCTAAACAAATGGGCGGCCCTGGACTTGACCGTACATATGTGATGTATGTACTAACAACCCTTGTATTAATGTGTATGCTCATTTATCCTATAGATATAAGTCGCTTCATTGTATTTTAGCATTCATTAAATAAACGGGATTGACTCAGTTCGGGTGTTTGATTATGAACTCCTCATATGGCGACCCATGCCATTCGAGCTGACCGCGCGTGTGTCTAAAGTACTCGACCGTACATACTTGTGCTGCGCGTGCGCGAGGGTAGTCAGCAGCTGCAGCGCCTGCGCGGCGGCGGCGGGGGTCCTAAACAAATGGGCGGCCCTGGACTTGACCGTACATATGTGATGTATGTACTAACAACCCTTGTATTAATGTGTATGCTCATTTATCCTATAGATATAAGTCGCTTCATTGTATTTTAGCATTCATTAAATAAACGGGATTGACTCAGTTCGGGTGTTTGATTATGAACTCCTCATATGGCGACCCATGCCATTCGAGCTGACCGCGCGTGTGTCTAAAGTACTCGACCGTACATACTTGTGCTGCGCGTGCGCGAGGGTAGTCAGCAGCTGCAGCGCCTGCGCGGCGGCGGCGGGGGTCCTAAGGCCTCAGCCTCGAATTTAGCGGGCAGCGGAGCGGCGGCGGTAGCGGCAGGATCTTATGCGTAAAATCAAATAGACCGGTTCTTGAAAACAGCGGCGCGGGAGCGGGCAACGAGCGGGCAGCGCACTCCTTCTTTTGCCCACAATAAATCAAGGGTTAGGAATAAATTTGAATCGAAATAAAATTGTCGCCGTTGTTCAGACATTTCGTTTGCGAATAAAAACAAATATCTCGACAACACAACCCCGAACACAACACTTCGCCGCTAAAGCGCCGCGCGAGCTGCCCGCTTGTTTCGAGAACGGGTCTGCGTTGCCCGCCCCGCTCCCGCGCCGCTGCCCGCTAAATTCGAGGCTGAGGCCTAAACAAATGGGCGGCCCTGGACTTGACCGTACATACTTGTGCTGCGCGTGCGCGAGGGTAGTCAGCAGCTGCAGCGCCTGCGCGGCGGCGGCGGGGTGGGCGGCCAGGTGGCGCAGGCACGCGCCCGCGCGGCTGGCCAGCCGCGACACCACCCACGACACGCCGCGCGACGACCGTCCGAAAGCGCACTCTAGGATCGGCGACATCTGAGATAAAAGCTTGATTTTATCAGGGTCAGGGTTCAAGATAATTACGCTTCATTTGTCTGATAATGAGGGCTATCGTTTTAGCGCTCACCAGTTAGCGCCACTGTAGAGTAAGGTCCTGTCCCTTGCTAGTAGCGAAGACAGTGGCACCAACTGGTGAGCGCTAAAGTGGTAGGAGGACTATCGCATTTGCACTCATGAAGATGGCGCAAATGCGATAGTCCTCCTGTCAATCGCCAGGGATGCCAACTGTTATAGATGACCCAAGCTGAACTGTCCCACCAAACTCAATGACAGGGCGGCGCTACCATCGTTCAACTATATGGTTTCCAACATGGCAAAAATCGGAACCAGCGATCCGGTATTGACGGTGGCGCCCCACTGTCAATGTCATCGATAGGACAGTCCAGTATTTTGGAACTATAGGTACTCGGTTATTAAGTTAACAGCGGACTTATCAACTCGAAAAGGAATCAACACCGTATCGCCTTTCGCGCGCTGTCAAACGCAAGGCGAGGCGTTTACGTTACGGTGTGGATAAGTTGTAGTATGGAGTTTCTTACAAAGAATCCTGACCGCCTCGAGTTGATACGGTTACGATCGCTTTCCGGGTTGATAAAATTGCGACGACTTTTAGTCCCGATTTTTGCCACTTGACGTTGCAAAATCTTTTGAATTTATTACAAATGACAACACGATACTATTTTCAACCGACTTCAAAAAAGGAGGAGGTTCTCAATTCGACCCGTATGTTTTTTTTTTTCTATGTTTGTTACGCGATATCTCCGCCAATTATGAACCGATTTGAACAAATCTTTTTTCGGCGTATAGGTAATACCTCAAGGGTGGTCCCATTTAAATTTAATAATAGAAAAAACAACCCCCAAGGGTGGAAAATTGGGGATGAACTTTTTTATACGCAATATCTCCGCCGATTATAAATCAATTTGAACGATTATTTTTTTGTTGAATAGGTATTATGAAAAGGGTGATTTCATGCGAATTTGAAGAAAATATTTCACCCCCAAGGGTGGAAAATTGGGGATGAACTTTTTTATACGCAATTTTTTTAATTTTTAGTTATTTTTTGTGTTCACGCATTTGAAGTCGGTTTTATTTTTTTAAAAAGGTAATTATTGACAACTTTTATGGCGATTATTACTGGTATAACTAAACGTTCGTTTCAACCAAAGGTAATCCTTTACCATCCATTGCTGAGCAAAGGCCTCCCACAAGGGGCCACAAGGATTTCCACAACAACCGGTTCTGCACTGCCCGCATCCAGATGCTTCATTCACTAGATCATCGATCCACCGAGTGGGAGCCACACGCTATGTTTTCCAGTTCATGGCTCAAGAAATAACTGACAGTTATACCAGCCATGTGCCCCGTCCATTGCATGTTTATAATTTATTATAGCCACAAAAGTAATTCTTCCTAAAACTATTAAACTAACCTCAGAGTAGACTGACGTCTGCGGCATCAAATAAGAGTTGGACCATATCTTCAAAAGCCAAGAGATGGTTGCAGACAGTTCTGGACTGAACACCGTTCCTAAACCAGCTTCCAACGCAGCGCATTCCCACGCGCTTATGCGAAGGATTTCACCCATCAACCTAATAAAGGAAAAGTATTTATTAGTATTTTTGAACCTATTAGACACAAAACTTGTACCATGCGAACAAGTCCGAACAACCTAGATAAAGGCTAAAAAACTTAACGCTATTTATGGATAGCATTGTAGATATAGATCTATTTAGAAAGCACCCAGATGAATACAAATATGTTATTATGCTCATTTCAAAATATTGCGCAAGAATAGACGAAAAATACTAAAAATTTTAAGTGTACGAAGATCAGATACATTCACTGAATTGTATTATGTAAGATTTGCATAAGTATGTAAAACAGATCAGTCAACATGATTTCCTTGTATTTTGTCATCAATCCTAATTCTTTACAAAGCAAGAGGAAAGTTTAACAAAGCGATCTTACATATTCTATTCATGAATACAAAACAATTATGTATACAAAAGCGAATAGTCTATTTACTGCTTATTATCTTATCAGTCTCATTCATTTTAAGTGTTGACTATTGTGTGAAATAAAATATACGACTTACGAGACCAAATCAAGATTTTACAAGAATAAAGCCAACCGTTGAAAAGATACAGAATTTAAATTTGCATGACAACAATACAATCCTTTACTTGTAAAGGTTGAAGGTGATCTTCACAAGCGTAAGTGGAATCCTACATAGGTAACCGGTAATGCATTTAGGTGACGATATTACTATTTTTAGGTTTTTTATCTTTGTTACTTTCAATTTGACTTATATGCCAGTCGCACAGTCGCGACAGCAATATAATTACGCGCGAGCGATAAGGATGGGTCTAGGAAGCTACCTAAGGGTCATTGGACAAAATTCTACGTGCTCACGGACCAGGCTTTATGAGACTGAAATTGGCTAGAGTTAAAAGTAGATCCTTCTGTAACATGTCAATTTATAAACAAAGCTGTTGAGCTTCCTACAATAAAAAAAATAGAATTATGCCCGTTTTCATCATCAATCCCTAATATTTAAGTGACCCTTATGGTAACAGATAACAGGAATTTTGTTTTCATAGGGGTCACTTAAAAATTAGGGATTGATGGTGAAAACGGGCATTAGTCATTCATGTGTATGCTGTAAAATATTGTTATTTCCCTTTACTTCAGTTTTACAGAAAAAACATTCGCTCACATAAGAAATGATGTACTTACTTCAACACCGGGTCGACATTTTCCGTGCTATGGCTCTCCCCAACCAAGTACCTGAGGGAAGCGTCAACATTGGCGTTCTCTCTGATACTGTAGCTTATGATCTCCGGTGGTATCATCACAGTCTCACCCTCTGTGCAGTCTATGGCTAGGAAATGTCCTGAAATAAAATTAAAATAATAAATAAATATCCTAAGACATTTTACACTGTGCCGCTAGCCCCAAACTAAGCAAAGCTTGTACACTATAGGAATTAGACAACGGATATAAACATACTTAACCGATTGAGTCCCAGACGGCATTAATTAATGTCATAACAATTGTTTATGTATTAAGGATTAAATACTTTTTTTTTGTAAATAAATACATATTATACATAGAAAACACCCAGACCCGTCACAGAAATTAAAATTCATCATTTCAATTAAATTAAAATCGAAATGAGACGCGTAAGATTTACACACAATTCGGTAAAGTATTTACGGTTATCTCAGAAACTACTGTGAGCCTGCGAGGCTACTCCTTAGGGATGATTCCTAGGTAAAAAAGCAAGAGTTTGAATTAGTCCGTCGGTTAACTTATCAAAAAATACTCGATACGTATTTTTCACCTTTTCGAACTAATGGAAATTGAAAGAGATAGGTAAAGCAAGCCAAAAGAAAAGACCCGTGACGTCAAGGCGTGCTTAGAAGTGTAGCACTGTGTGACGTCACGCGTAACTTCAACGCATCATAACTTCGTAATTACTTGTTTGATTGACAAATAAAAATATACGTGTCCAATATTTATTAATAATAATTGACGGACTAAAAGTTATTTTTAGGAAAGTAGCCTATTACCGTATTACGTCAACTTTTTTTTTTAACACGAAGTTTCCCTACGATACTAATTACTCATTCTATGACGTATTGAGTCTAGGCGGGGGAATCCGCAAACATACATAAGAAAGCATTGGAAATGCCAAATCTAAAACATAACACATGTTGCAAGTGCACATGCCTGGTATGAATGAAAAATAAATAATGACGGCTGACTCATTCAAATGATTATCATTACTTGAGTAAGTCATAAGTCAAGTAACCACTTTTCTTTAGTTTCAGTGTCAGACTTTGGATTCGAGGGTAGCTAGTCTGATCTTCGTCGACCGCTTATGAACCCACTTTTAAAATAAGCGTTTAATTAAACAATGACAATGAAAACAACAAGGACAAAATAATATTTACCAGTAATCATCAGGATCCAGTGCAAGTCTTCAAACAGGCTCACCAGTTGTTCACCATTGCTTACTGGCAGTTTACCCATGTGCATTAGCTGTAGTTGTCCTTCGAGCCTGTTTTGAAATAAATATTTATTAGTAGCGTGGTAGGGTTCAAAGTTGCTAGTAAACTATAAGAAGCGCCAAATCTTTAAACTTGTCTAACATTGTATGTACCAAAATGAGGTGTAATTAAAAATTAAAATATTATTTTAATATTTACAAAATGCTGTATGTAATTTAGATGTACAGACAGAATCATTAAAAGTGTTTTGCAAATTGAAAACAAATTCATATTATTTGGATCATTAATAGCCAGAGGGTCTGATTCAGTGGTGACTTGCTTTGAAGTAAGCCAAGTAAGCAAAAGATTCTAAAGTCCGGTCGCCGAGCTACTCATCCTTATCGCTCGCGTGTAATTAATTATATTGCTGTCGCGCTCGCACACTCACTGCGGCCGCCCGTCGTACAGTCGCGACAGCAATATAATTACGCGCGAGTGATAAGGATTGGCTTGGTGAAGGCACGAAGGCTTGGGTCATTGGACGTAATTATATCTGCTCGGCGACCGGACTTTAGTTTTATTAACCTCTATATTTTACTAACCTCTTGCTTCTATCTTGCAGCAATGTAAACAGCACGTGGCAGCAATGCGCTGGAGCCTTCCTGGCGATCGCTCCGATCGTCAGCAACACGTTGCTGTGCAGTTTCCGCTCATCTTCCTCGTTGTCATCTTTGATATCTTCTTCTTCAGCTGCTGTGCCTCTGTTGATTAATTTAGTTTTTTCTGTCAGCCAGCATGAACTGTCAAGTTCCTCAACTAGGTAATTTTGAACCTGAAGGGACTTCTACTATGATATAAAAATTAGGTTAAGTTAAAACTAAGATAAGAATAATTTAAATAAAAATAAAATTAACACACTCAATCAACTTCAAACCAAACCAAAATATGAATATATTCTGGAAACAGTTGAAGAACAAAAATTATTAGAAAATAAACAAATTACTTGTACAATCAAATTATTCCAATGCAAAGTGTACCTAATAATTATTTTCCTCTATTGTACTGTTAGGATTTGTTTCTAAATAAATTATAAATTAAATTATTTACCTAGTCCCATCAGGGGGTGCCAGTCTGCATTGAAGGTAAGTGTTGAAGACTTCTATACAAGGATTCATCAAGGTCTCATTGGAGAATCCATCGGGATCGTGGGCAAGGGAGCTCCATGTGTGCAGGAACTTATTCAGAGACTCCCTCCATACTGTGTCTTCATTTGTCTGTAAAAGTATAAAAAATAATAAACAAAAACAGTTACAAATTAAAAATTAACACAGTAAAAATGTTTTTTTTTTATTTTACACCAAATGCTTACCACTTCTTCAACAACTGACGCCCTGATGCATGTACATGTTAAAGATGTCAAATTCTGCAGAAATGCTGGCGGAGTAGATGCTATCATTTGGGGAGCGAAAAACTGAATCAGTCGCCTATGAATATCAGATATCCCAAGCATCTCCCTATCCACTGGCTGAACATATGCCATCATGTTCATAAAACTATTCACATAGTTCTCCAAATACTGCTGCTTTAAATTACCAACATGGACCACAACACCACTCAAACTAGCCAGTTGCACTAGACAGGTTAAAGACGGGTTAGCTAACTCCGGGTTTGACCTCACGTACATGTGTATCTCGAAGAATAATGCAATGAGTTCTGGCTGCATTATAGTGTCCCTCCAGCTTAGACTTAACCGCAATGCTGGGGCTGTATCACTTTCGTATATAGCCTCAAATGCGCCGATTAACCTCTTCGACAGCAGAGGAGAGACATGGCTCCAGCACAAGACTGTTTCAACAATTGTCAGAAGTTGCTTAGTCAGCATAGCTTGCTCCCCTTCAGGCCGGTGTCCAGAGCGTACTATCTGCTCCAATACACCTACAGTAAAACGGAATATCCTCTTCAAATCAACTCCTTCAAATGACTTCTTGAGTCGAAAGTGAACTTCCCATATGAGCCCAACATCGGCAGATTTTACAGTAATAGCATATTCTTGCATAATGGCTAAAATTAGTGAGCAGGCCAATTTTTGCTGACTTATAGGAGAGCTCAAAATCATTTTTTCTAGTTCACCAATTAATGCTCTCCTTTCTCTGCCTCCATCATCAATACTGCCTCTCTTGATGATTATAGCAATAGTCTAAAAGAAAAAAACAAGAATTCTGTACTTATTTTAGGTATCATTCAGGCCAACAATTCATGAAGGGTTGCATTTTATTTGGAATTGGCACTATAATAAGCAAGTAAACGTTCACTTCGGTTTAACCTCGTAAGCCCGGATGTGCCTCAGAAGGAACTGAAACTTTGTAGTCAGTAACGCCGAGACATTTTCGGAGGTGAATTGTAAGTATCGCCGGATGTGCCCTCAGAGGAACTAAAACTTTAGCGATAATTTTAAGTTCAAAAATTTGCGCCTATTGAATAAAAAGAGTTATAGTATATGGCTTAAACTATTCAAAATCAGGTATCCGAACTTATTAATGTAAAAAAAACAAAATGTCACTGTCAAATTATCATTTTTCTTTGACAAGGTGGTTCTTCCGAGAGGACGTGATGTACTATTAATTTTTTTTCTTCACGTAAACGTAGTTTAATTGAAAAACTAACCAGTATAATTAAAAGGGGCGAGCGAAAGGGTGTGTTACTTATATGCGTTTAACGCTGTAACGCTGCCAATTCGCTCATTGCACGGTCTGTCCCGGCCGCTTGCTTTGGTGTTGGCCTTGAGGGAGAGCGCTGGTTGTGTAGATCCTCAAGGCAAGCCTGACTGTTATCCTTCTCGTGGTTGCCGCCTGTTTTTGGTCTGGTTCCTTATGAAACAGACGTAACGGAAATGGTCAGACGCATCCCATGCTCCTTAACACCCTTTTCCTACCCCAATCCTGCTTTGCTTTTGCATTTCCTTCCTCTCCTAGGGATACCACAAACCTTGAGGTCCTTAGCCTCCTCAAAAAGTGTGGTCATGGCTACCTTGGGAAAGTACCATGGACGATTTCCCCCTAATTCAAGGTGTGATGCGAACCGTGCCGATGAACGCGTGGCTGAGAGGGAGCTCAGTCTTGAACGGTGCCTGCCCGAGACCAGAGCGATTCGGTGCAGTATTCAGCTCTTCCCTGGGCATGCGGGGCTCTGCCGAGGGTGACCGATTACTTCCCTAGCTACTCGTGGGAACTTTTATGAATACGTAGAGATGGGTTATACTAGGTAAATTTGATACTAGGTGCACCTATTCCTAGTATTTATTAATACTCGATCCAAATACCTGTTCCTCCTAGTACGTAGTAATTTAGCATACTTGACGCGACTAGTGCGGACTAATCCACGTAATAGGACTTTAAAATACAATTTTCTTTGAAAAGATACAACCGTAGTATGAATACTTCTACAGGCTTAGGACTGTCAACTTAAAAGTTGGCGTATTTAAAAGATATCAATTTCATAAAAATATTTACATATTTTTTCTTATTTACATGAATATGGTTTGACTGCGTTTGTGTGCGTTTGCTTCGTCGCGCTCAAATTTGTTTGGTTAGACAGAGACGGAGTGAATCTCTACGTTCGCACATAAGCTTAGCGAGAAATACTAGGTGCGCGTAATACACGACTACGGATTACGCAATAATAACCTCTATTACTTTGATGGTAGGGTCGGAAATCGTGTAATTTATAAAATACTAGATGGATCAAGTATTTAGTAGTCTTCGCCTAGTACTGTAAAATACCTAGTGTGTGGATCTGTTCTAGTAAATACGTCTCATCTCTAGTATCCAGTGTTTTATTTATGAGAATAGATCTACCGGCCTTTAATAGTACATACTTGTGCTGCGCGTGCGCGAGGGTAGTCAGCAGCTGCAGCGCCTGCGCGGCGGCGGCGGGAGAGTAACGCTGAGATGGGTTCCAGGTCATGCGGGAATCGAGGGCAATGAAAATGCCGACGAACTAGCCAGAGCGGGAGCGGAGGGAACACAATATGGTCCAGAACCCTTTTGTGGTGTTCCCAAAAGTCTCGCTCGAATGACCCTGGAGAACATCTATTTAAACAAATCCTTTATGGCATGGTCAGACACGCCAGGATTAACTCATTCCAAAGCTCTCATAAAAGCCTATGATCGAAAAAGCTCTAAGCAGATCATAGGACTGAGTAGGACCAAAATGCGCATCTTAGTTCGAGCCCTCACTGGACACTGCAGCTTAAACAAGCACTTGTCCACTATGGGACTGTCCGAAACAAGAACGTGCAGGATGTGCCAAGAGGCAGATGAAACGCCACTACACATGCTCACGGACTGCGGACCTCTGATGCGCAAGCGGAGCTTACACCTGGGCAAACACATCCTAAGCCCACAAGATGTAAAACATATCGCCCCCCAAAAGATACTGCACTTCCTAATGGATGCAGGACTCGGAGGCGAACTGTAAGGAAAACAGCGGCGATCACAATAGATCGATAACGGTCGCAGTGATACTAGGACTTTATTGAACTAGAATAGCCGCTCAACACAAATAAAAAAAAAAATAAAAAAACCAGTATAATTTAAGTTAAAATACTGCTAAACAAGCAAAAAAATTATTTTTACCAATTCGAAGAAGTTTTGTAAGATTTTTTTTCGTTTGAAAATAATAGTTCTTTGCAAGGAACATTCGGTCTTGATGGTGAAAGTTTTATTTTTGTTTATTTTTTCTATTGAGATGGATTGAATATTGGACTTTTAAAATTATGATATGATTGACAAAATTTACCATGAGAACGTTCTGATTTTTAGTTTAATAAATATTATAATTAACATGAATATTCACTTTACTTCTTATACATTCTAACCTATCATTATTATATGTTATAAAACCGATAGTACTTTTAAAAGTACTAATAATGAAACATTAAATAAAATTAAAATACTTGTGCCTTTTCAGTTACATTTATTTATATCATTATTGTATCTTTATGTAGTATTAATTTATTAAGGAGGTTACATTAATGTTTTTCTTAAAAGTATAAAATACAATTTATTTACTTTTTATTTTTAAAGTCTGTAATACCGAATGTTCTTTTAAGAGAAAACATTTTTTTATTATTTTTTACCTAAAATAAGGTCTATGCACTATTATATAGGGTCCCTGAAAATATGGGTGCAAAAGAAAATCTCTAACATAGAAATTTTTTTACTCGAAGTGCTCGGCGTTTACGACTTCAAATTGTTCGTTCTTCTGAAAGCACATTCGGCTATACTTAGAAGTCGACAAAATTTGCTCTTCGGTCTTACGAGGTTAATGAATTTATCATAAGTTGAGATGTAGAACATGTAGAAAGTAACATATAAAATACTAAATATCCAGTTAAAATGTCTATATAATAACCCTAACATTTGTTAGCCAGTGAACCAAAAAAAATACTCCCTTAATTTTGCAGACAATCATATTTACCTGCAATAACTTTTCTCTCAGGAATGGAGGTGTATCTGACCTAAGAAGAAAATTCAACAAGTATTCCCTCAGGGATGAAATATCATTTGCAGACAATAAGCTCCATTCTCTAATTAACGCTGACTTCAATAACCCAGCTGCCTCAAACAGCACATAGTCAGAAGAAGACTTCTCCAAGAGTTCCCTGCACAGCTGGTAGGGGTTTTTAGTGCTCCGGAATTCCAGGAATACGCTTTCTGCCTGGTGGCGCTGCTGCGATGACACCATTTCTGGCGGTGCCTATAAAAATAATAGGTAAACAAAAACACCACGAAGTGGAAATTATTCTACATAATAGAGGCAAGATGTAGATATATAAATTTGAATTAAAAACTACAAACAATAGCCAAATTAACTTACCATCAGCATCTGAGCAGCAGTCTCTAATGTTTGTATTGCTGAGTTTTCCATGTTATTATTTTTTATTTAAACAAAATACTGATTGAAGATGAATTAAAAATAGTTCATTCACTACATCTGAAGAGTAATTAGTAATAATACGATTTACTTATTACATTTTTATCGACAAAATTACCAAATTACGAGTTTCATTTTTTGCAATAAAACGACTGACACTAATGACAGATACAAAAAAAATTCACCACAGACTGCTGAAGCTGAAATGATGTGTCATGTCAAAGCGTAAAAAGTTGCAGTATGTCAGCATTTATGTGGAGAAGGCTTAGATAAGATTTCCATTTCCATATCGGGCTGGCCATAAGGCCATATGCTGAGATTTTTGCTCACTCACAGCACCTCGCAGAATCGCAGATACTTTTGCCGGACAATATGAATCTGAAACTTGATTTGCTTGCTTAGTCAATCAAGATAATTACTGATATGCTTAGATTAATAAAGCCTGATATGATTCCTCAACCTCAGCATGACCTCAGTCATTAATTTCAACATCATTGCAATAATAATCATCATTTCAGCCACAGGAGGGTATTTCGCCAAAAATGGTCAATTTTGCCTAATTTCCTTGGCACGAATTTTATTTTTGTTTTTAACTATTTTTTGTTTCCCATTGCATTAAGTAGTAAAAACTAAAGTAATATATCTAAAAGGGGTGTCATAATTCGTTTTAGAAACAAAGTTATGAGGTCATAAATTTTTGGGAGCCAAGGAAATTATTTTAAATATTTTTTTCTCTAAGTTTTCTTCTGTGGTTTGCTTTTTTTTGTTCGACCCATTTTTGTGTACTTTTGCAAGCATTCATGCTAATGAATATTATATCATTACGACCTTTTTAAACAACTAAGGAAGATAAATGCAGTAGATTGAGTTAAGAGTTAAAAACAAGTTTTTCTATATCTATTCTGATACCTATTTCTTAAAATGTATATTTTAAACTTATTCCAATAAAGAAATACTCAAAATTTAACTTTACTCCGAATTATTAATGGTCTTTTATAATTTCCTAGGTAATTTTATGCCACGGAAAACAAGGAAATTAGGACCAAAGAAATTAGATTTATGCCTAAAAGACACCACAGACAAAAACCTATTTACCCTATGCATTTACTATTTAAATCATGGGTTTACCCCTACAGACACTACATTTGTGTAAATAAACAATAAAATTAATCCATTGTTTAGTTGCAAAAAACCGTCCAAAGAAATTGACTTTTTAGTAAACAAAAACCCAAGGAGGGACCTATTTATGCGATTTGTCGCGAAACTGATCAATGACATACTGTCCTGCCTCAATGGCCTCTTGGGACGAAATGGCCGAGTGTAGTGGTGCAGTGCGTTACATTCTAAGTTTTTTCGTTTCGTTACAACAGTGGTCGAAACGAAGACCCAGGGAAATTATACTTTTGACCTGGACAAGAACTTAACTTCAATTTATTTTCTTCCCATAAGTATTTGAAATTTAAAGTTTTTATTTTCCGATAGCCAAACGTTTCTCAAATGTAAAGAGAGTGCTATTAGAATTAAATTACGCTTCAATTTGTTATAATGAGCCTTCATTTAGGCAAACAACTGTAATGGACATAACAAGGAAATTAGAAAAACGACTTTTGATTAAGTTTTTCTACGGTATTATTTGTAGTTTCTGCTATTGTAGTAGCAAAAACAAATAAAACTTTTGATGAACTTTCCCATAAAAATAGTTTTATACAGATAGATATAAAAAAACATGTGTTCGCCTGCCTGGACACAGAAAATTTACTGTTTCGGCGAAATACCCAGGACGTCCACTGCTGAACATAGGCCTTCCCCAATTACTTCTACATCGCACGGTTGGTAACGGCCTGCATCCAGCGCCTTTCTGCTACCTTTAACAGGTCGTCGGTCCACCTTGTGGGTGGACGTCTCACGCTGCCTTTTCCGGTACGTGGCGTGGCCTCCACCATCGGCCGTCAGTTCTGCATACTATGTGCCCTGCCCATTGCCACTCCAGCATGCTAATCCATCGGGCTATGTCAGTGCACTTACTTAGTTCGTTTACGGATCTCCTCATTTCTGATTTGATCTCGTAAAGAAACACCGAGCATAACAATAATGATACCTAATTATTATAGGTAGGCTTTATTAAATTACTTTCTACCTTACCTTAAGTTTTTCTAAATTACAGAGCAACGAAGTAATTATATGAAGGGTAGATTTCAATCATCACCATATAATTTTAGCTTGTCTGACCCACCAGAGATTGAACCCAGGACCTTTAGTAGTATACAACTATTGTGTCGATTACCTAAATCAGGGCTGGCCAAACCATGGCGGGCGCGGCGGCACGCGGTTTGGATTATTGCGGCCCGTAGAATCTTTTTTATCTTCTGTAATTTTTTGGAGCACCTCAAATACATGGACGAAATAATCATCGAATATATTTGAACGGCGTTTTGCAGATTTAAAATTGAGAGTGATATAGCACTCTTCACTCATCCATTAACTATCGCAGTTGAGAGTGTGAAGATTGATTATCAACTGAAACTGTGTGATCGATCAGTCCCCTTTTACAAGGGCAGAACTGAAATAGGACTTGATTTTTAAGCTCCTCGCTGAACGTTTCCCGAAACTGACGAATTTCGGGCAAAAAATGGGCTCGATGATGGGCAGTACCTACTTTTGTGAGAGTGCATATTCAACAATGAAGCTTATTTAATCGAAATACATATACTTTACTTAAACATGCACTGCGCCTAGCTACTACTAATATTGAGGTTGATGTTGATTGACAGAATTGTAAAAGACTAATGCAAAAGTGCATAATAAATAACGATACATATTTTATTACCAATATTTTATTTTTATAAATATTTTGCGGCCCACCAATGTATTTAGTCATTTTTATTGGCTCTGGGTCTCATCTAGTTTGGACACCCCTGACCTAAATAAATGGGTATTTCGAATTAATCTGGGTATACTTACTTACAGGGTGGAATTTTGTAATGCCACCTGGAGGGAAAGTACTCTTAATATTGTAGATAGATTTTTTCTCAAAGAAAACATTCTTTTATTTCTGAAAAGATATAGAACTGCATTCAAAGATTTCCAAAAATTTGCTTGCCACACCCGGGAATCGAACCAACTAAAATCTGTTAAAAATTACACCCTGTATTTTTATTGCATCGATCGTTAGGGTTAAGCATAGAGAAAAGTAATAGGGTTAAGTATAAGGATGAAATCTCTCTAACAAACTTGATGAAATGAAAGGAAAACTATGAAATCTTAAATTATTTTAATTTTGTACAGAAAATTGTATGGTATGGTAACTAGTAAATTTTCGAAAATCTTTGAATGCAGTTCTCATTCTTTTAAAAAATAAAGGAATGTTTTCTTTCAGTATTTTCTATCTACAGTATTAAGAGTAATTTCCCTCCAGGTGGCATTACAAAATTCCACCCTGTAGGTATATTATGGTATTTCGAAATAATGGGTTAAGGTTCGGCCAAACCAACGCGATCACATGCGATCAGTCGGCGTGCAGCGATGGCGATCAATGCATTTAAGTCTGGTCGCCATCGCTGCACGCCGGCTGATCGCGTGTGATCGCGTTGGTTTGGCCGAACCTTAAGTAAATCGAAAGTTATGAGTGATTCAGGTCATATAGGATGTAGGCTCCGCTCCTACACACAATATTAAATGGGTTGACACACCTTGTAGCTTTCACCAAAAAATATACTTACGAATATTTATAATATCCTTATTTGCTTGGATTGTATTGCTTTGCGTTGCGTATACTTTTTATACCTGCCTTCCTATTATTATTATGCCTCCCTTTCTTCATAAGTACGAGTATACTTACAAGAACGCAGTTTTCAGCAAAAAATTAAATTATATTTAAAAAATCTCTTCAACTAAATAAATGCAGCAATTTTAATTTTTTTTATATATTTCACAAGTCTTATATTGACTGCACGCATCTCGTGCGTGAGTGCCAAAAATTGCGGAGATCCATTTCGAAATGTATTCATCAATAAAGCGAAAAAATATTGTTAATTTAATTTTAAAGGTTCCAGAATAACTAATTAATTTCATTTCTAATCCCTTTACATCTAAAATGTTTAAAAATTATAATAATACCTTATACCTATACTCCTAGCTCCTGTCTGGCATTACATGTTAAAATAGGATTAGTTATTCATTTTCTAACGGGATACCCTTGTTAATAATCAAACAACTGGATAATACTGGTGGTGTAGCTAATATACAGGGTGTCCCAGAATGGGTGAATCAAACTGCTAGGGGAGGTAGCTCTACTAATGTACTATCCCCTTGGGTTAATTCGTCAAAGACTATCCCTAAAAAATATGAAAAAAAATTGAGTTCGGAATTTTTTATAAATAATGTACTCTAAACTCGAAATCCAGTCATTATTTTCAAGTTTGTTTACAGATAAACGAAGCGATCATATTGTACAATTAATATTAGTAAGAAAAAAGTACAAATAAACTCCAAACGCAGCAATTATAGCCAGATACTTAGGCAAAGCTGATTTATTTTCACTTTTTCAAAACAATATTTTTTTGTGTCCATGCGCTTTATTTTTTTTTCATATTTTTTAGGGATAGTAGAGCTACCTCCCCTATCAGTTTGATTCGCCCATTCTGGGACACCCTGTATACTTAAATGCCTAAAATACGCTCTAGAGCAGGGGTGGCCAACTTGATTAGACATAAGATTTACTGTTTACTAACGAAACCCTGGGCGATCTATCACTTACATACTTCTTGAAATCTTTAATGAAACAGCACAGTTTAGTACACAATCATGAAGTATTTTTGCCTTGCCACAATCGACTGGACTAAGTAATATTCGCGATTGACCGTCGATCGCGATCGACCGGTTGGCCACCCCTGCTCTAGAGAATAATAATATCGCCATTGCCATTTTGATCACAGAGCATTTGACTAGTATTTTAATTTTCTTCTTCAATTAATTTTAATCTTCTCTCAAGCAGCTCCTTGTTCAATCTGTGCATACACAAGAATCTTCCATTGAGGAAAAGTACAGGGATGTCATGCCTATACAGACGCAACCACCTTAGATTTTCTTTCTCTGTTATGTCTACTTTTTCAATAGTAATTCTGCTTTTGAATGGTTCTAGTTCTTCCATAACTATGTCACACAGTGGACATGGATTTTTTGTATAAAATGTCAATACAGGTGGCCCATCTAAGGCTTGAGGTCTGGAAAGAAAATTAAATTCTCTCAAACAAAAATAATTAATTTATTTATATCCAGACCATTTCCTTACAGTTACATTTCATACATATTTACAGGTGATAAAGATTGTTCCATAAAATACTAAATCAATAACAAAGTCATAAAAACATATTACACTCAAAAGGTATAAACTTCATCTATTCACACAAACAAAATTGTTACTGTCATACAGTAGTGACTACCACAATAAAGCAAATCTATATATATAAAAGAAAGTCGTGTTAGTTACTCCACTTATAACTCAAGAACGGCTGAACCGATTTAGCTGAAAATTGTCAGGGAGGTAGTTTAGAGCTAGGAGAAGGACATAGGGTACTTTTTATCCCGTTCGAAAAAAAAAAGTCTGCTTATTTATTGCCATTAAGGCGGAACAAAGTTCGCCGGGTCAGCTAGTCATCTTATAAAGGCACAAGTAGCAGTTATACAATTGTTATTGAACAGCCAATCCATCAATGAATAGCCAACTTACAATTTTTCAATCATAATGGATGATGCACCACCTCCACCATTACAAATAGAGGCCACTCCCTTCTCTCCCTTCTTCAGAGCATGGCATAAGTGTACCACAAGACGGGCACCTGACATGCCAATAGGGTGGCCAATGCTCACAGCTCCTCCATGAACATTTACTTTGGAGGGATCTAATTCCAGTATCTTTTGATTTGCAACAGCCACAACACTGAAGGCTTCATTAATTTCCCAAAGGGCTACATCGTCTTTCTTAACTCCAGTCTTTTGCAAAAGTTTTGGAATGGCAACAGCCGGGGCGATAGGGAAATCAATGGGGTCACATTCTCCATCAGCAAATCCTACAACCCTGGCAATAGGCTTTACATTCAGTCTTTCTGCTGCTTGGGCTGTCATCAGGACAAGAGCTGCAGCCCCGTCATTTAAAGTAGAGGCATTACCAGCCGTTACTGTACCATTTTCCCTTTGGAAAACTGTGGCCAACTTATTAAACTTTTCAAAATTCACCCTTTTGTACTCTTCATCTTCAGCAAAGATAATTGGTGGGGCTCCTCGTTTCTGGGGCACTGGAACTGGTACAAGTTCATCAGCAAAAGCTTTGATTTCATATGCAGCAGCACTCCTCTTATAACTAGAAATAGCATAATCATCTTGTTGTTGTCTTGAAATTTCCAATTTTTTGGCTGTATTTTCGGCACAATTACCCATATGGAATTTGTTGTAGACATCTGTGAGGCCATCAAATACTATTCCATCGACCAGCTGCATGCCTCCATATGTGGTTTCACCACGTTTTAGATAGAAGGGGACGTTTGACATAGATTCCATACCGCCAGCTAGAATTACATCTTGGTCGCCGGTCTGTAGTCCTTGTGCAGCAAGCATGACAGACTTCATGCCTGATGCACACACCTTGTTCACAGTTGTACAGACTGTACTCTTGGGAAGTCCAGCAAAAATAACTGCTTGTCTTGCTGGAGCTTGACCCATACTTGCGGAGCAAACATTGCCTATGTACACCTAGAAGTAAAGATTACAATTAAAATGTTATACTTTTGGTTCTAACATAGATTCCAGAGATAGTTAAATGTTGTAATAATAGTTAAATATTATGTATCATGTTTATGTTGATTATGTATGAAATCTTAATAATATTAAAATCGTCATTCAGCACTTGACATACTTAATATCCAAATGGATATATTATCAAGTTTGTAATAATCTTTGATTTGTAAATTAATGAGTTTTTTCAATCATGTGATAATAATCTTGCTGTCAGTGATAACACCTACATAAATGTTATTTTTTTAACTAATTATTGTGTTCTTACACATGATTAAAATGACATTAAATTTACATTTAATGGAATTGGGTGCACCATAAAGTTCTAACAGTAGATTAGCTTGATAACTGTAAAATTAAGTGAAAGTGCACAATCAACTAACCTCTTTAATTTCTTCCTTAGGAATGCCGGCTCTTTCGACGGCTGCCTTTACAGCCACGGCGCCAAGCTCTGAAGCTGACATCGTTGCCAGGCTTCCCCTGAAGGATCCAATTGGAGTTCTGACAGCAGAGGCTATCACCACATCGTTGAGGGAAACTTTTGAAGAATATGCCGCCGCCATCACTTTGAGAAATTGCTAAACAATAAAGAAAAACGTAATGACTTCAAAAACTTGGAATGATAACACACTAAGTGGGTTTTACCGAAAAATGAATGAAATGTATGGCCACCAGCAAACCAGCCAGCTATCTAGTTGGACAACTTATGAGCGACTGTTGGCTGACGTACCGGATTTAACGAAAAACGAAAAGGAAAACTGTTAGAAGTACCTTGTTCAGAACTGGGTGCATTTTGATGCTAAATAAGCTACTTCCTTTCAATAAGATCATTTTGAATGCTTATGATAACGTCTACAAGCAACTAAAAGTAAAATGAAATGATTACAACTGGCCGCGAATGATACTTTATCTTTGTAAAAATAAAAATGTATTTACATATAATTATCTCTACAGATATTGCTTGATAAATGTTGCAAATACACCCTAATTCCGATATACATAAAGGCGAAGATAACTTGAGTTGCTAAAACAAGTTTTGTTGAAACAAACTTTGACCCCCGGATGCCTGACTTGTCGCAATGAATTTTACCGTTTCGTTTTCCAAACTAGATTGAAAGGAATGTTATTTTATACTAATTTATTGAGTTCAAACACAATTTGTATAACTATTTTAGTAATCTTAATCAAAAGCTAAATAATTAAGAAATTATTTTGTTCTATTAATTCCACAGTACATAAATTAAAAATATTTTTTGTTGCTAGCAATACTTCAGGCGTAGCTAGCTGTCACTTGTCAAATCTCAAAAATGTCAAAAGGGTTTTTTCCNTTTTTTTTTTTATTTTATTTTATTTGATTCTATCACTGTGTAAAAGCTGCGCACGTGACATTGGCGGAACAGTGGCGAAAAAGCACAAGTTCATCGCCATCAATAAAAGAAGAAGAAAATGTCAAAAGTTCTGTTCTTTTTCATCATAAAAGTTCTACAATCACAGTAAATGAGGTCTCTTTAAACATTTCGCAAGTTACCTGAAGTCTTCTGAGACACTGATAAAGACTATTTAGGATTCAAAGGAACATGATACATACTTTTACGACTAATTACGACCATTTTTGACGACCATACAAACCGAGGTCGCGATTTTAGTTTTAAGTTTAGATTTATCGATCATCATCACAATTTAAAACAAATGAATTCGAATCACATAATTAATTGTTCGACAAAAGTCGATTTGTTAACATTTTATCGTGGAATGATGTGCTTGTGTCAAGTGAATTAAGTTTGAGTGTGTCTTCGTTAATTTCACATTCATTAGCTTTTCTTAGAAAAAGCCAGGAAATCAGGTAAGTCTTATTAAAAACGTTTTATTTTTTTTAAATTTCTTCATTAAACATGCATAATTAATCGAATCTAAAGAAAAAACTGTTATAATAAACACTCAGGAGGTATCTTCAAAAGTGATTGTTTATTGTAACATGTTTTTAAAACTTAAAAAGATTGGTAGTCTAAAATGATTTGGTTATGAATATAAATTATTATTTTGAGTTGTGAAAGTAAAACAATTTATAAAACATTTACTTTTTAGATATAGATTTATAAACATGCTGTAACTTAATAATTTCAAAAGAGAAATAATTAGAGAGTTTCAATGTATTTCTAATAATGCTTATGATCTTTATGTCAGAGACTTTAGAAGATGTTTGAAGTCGTTTTTCCTTGAAACATTTTTGAAAAGATTCATGATTAAAATAATGTAGGTAGCAATTTTTCTTTTATGGCAAAATATATTTTATGAAATCTGATGATGTAATAAAAGATAATATTATCATTTATCTTGGGGTTATCAGCAACATTTCGAGGTATTTATTTATATTGCACTTGATGCATCTGTGCCCTATCTTGATTGATTGATAAGAAATTACCTAATTGATACTTAATTGACTGAATTCTGATTAAATTGACAATGAAATCTTGACCACACATAACTGAGGTGAGTCATTTATTTGAAATGATTCAATTCAATTTCGAAAACTAAAGCTTTTACATGAAAATTTAATTGTTAAAATGTGGTCTACTTACATATTATACTGCCTGTACAAACATACATTGATAAAATTCAAAATATAAATGAATTAATATTAAAGACGGTCTATTTTACAGAAGCATTGAAAGCACTATTTTAATTGTTACCACTGATATGTTGATTGTCCTATAATTTATTGTTTATACTTTTTTAACACTAAGGCCCGGTTTTTTGATTCGTAGTTAAAATAACCAATGGTCAAGTTTGACAGATGTCAAATGACAAGTGGTTAAATATCAGAGAAAAATGTTTTTCGAACAATGGTTAGCTAGACTTTTAGTACATTTTTTAACTATGAGTTAACATTTTGTTAATATTTAACCATTAGTAGCAAAATTTAACAATTTGTTATTTTAACTATGAATCAAAAAACTGGGCCTAAGTAAGGACATCAATGGATTTACATACCTACAGTGTGATGTGATATAATATTTTTTAACTTTTGTCATCTTTCATTAATCTCTGTGTTAGTACAGTTTATGCTGTGAAATCATTTTGTCAAACAATATTAATCTTTAGTTATGGGTTAGTAAGATTCATATCTGTTTTAAGCAACAAATCATTCAGTTACTCATGTTTACCATGAAGTTTGCATTACCATGTTAATATTTGTCCGTCATTCACGGGCGTTGCTGTAATTAGCCTTATTAGTGAGACAATTCATATGTAAGCATACGGTTTTGAGTTGCCCATTAGTATGAACAAGCTGTGGAAAATTGTAACAAAAAAATATTTTTGTATGTATTCCACCAGTGTCAACAATAAACAAGTGTGTTATAATAGTTGTGGAGAATAGTTTGTGAGTGATCTGGGATCCCATTGTTGCAGGGTTATCTCCAAAAAGAGCTGGCTATGACTTAGGTCATGCAATAAAAATGGAAGTAGTAAATGACGGTAGGTATGAGCAAAGAGAAAATCTACCAGGAAGCAGCGCAGACAGTGATGCCTCTAGCAGCATTTTCGAGAGTAACGATAGCAGTGACGACCTAGACAAAACCTCAGATGATGAGGACCTCAAAGAAGACTTGCAGAAAACAATACCCGAATGCTACAAATCTGATTCAAACTTTTCTTCACAAACACCCAGTGACATCAATGATGAGGAGTTTCAAGCAACAGCTCTGTGCCAATTTATGGATATTTTAAACGATTTGGATGAAGTCCTGGATAAATCTTTACTGGCTTGTCTGGATGATGGCACCAAATCATTTGATAGTGATGAGGAAGATCTGATTTGCAAAATCAAAGAGGTTATTGGTAATCAAGAAGAACCGTCGGATGTCTCCGAGGGGCAGAGCTCTATAGAAGACAATACCCAAGTCGTAGTAGCACAGCATGGTCTCACTCCTTCAGCCCCTCTGTTAGAAGATCTAGATTTTACACAAAGTACTAATGAAAGACCAAGCTTCACCAGTTTTGGTAGGTCCAAAAGCTTCTCAGAGTTGTCTGGTAGTAACAGGCAAGCTTTGGTGTCGTCATTGGAAAGAACCAGTGCAACAAATAACAATGTGCGTAATTCCATGAGAAGATTGGATCCAATAGTTTTGCCTGCGGTCTCGGCGCAGGAGTCGTGCGAGCCGTTGACACTGCCAGTTATTTTGTTTTTGGAGCATCATGTGAATGTGCGGCCGACTAGCGCACCTATACAGTTGCAAGTGACGGCCGCTAACTTGAGCGCTGATGGGAGCTCGGGCCCTTTGATCGTGGGTCGAAGGGCGCTGCTGATGAACAGGACTCTTTCGCTGCCGTCGCCGGGAGAGAGTGACGTCACCACGGGAGACTGGACCGGCCGCAACACGGCTCGAAGCACGGCCAGGAGCACTAGCACATCTAGCTCCTCGATAGATTCATTGGCCGCTATTCCGTCGTCAAATCATCTTGCTGCTGGTCTGAATGATGAGAGGTAAAGTCACCTTAGGAAATTTTTGATTCTTGCGTCATTTGGTGTCACTAAAATTGCGATTAAATTGCCCTATGAATCATAACGCACGAAGTAGGTATAATGAGTAATAAAGATTCTCCTTAAAATTAATTAACGTTTACTAACTTTTACAGAATTGATGAGACTGATGAACCTCCTTTTGGAGTGTGGCCTCACAGCATGAGCGCTATGCTGGCATGTCTTAGCTGCACTGTAGGCATATTTAATATTTCAAGGTTTGCTATTCTCAGTGTTCATTTCGGAGGTAAGAATTAGTGATAAAAGTATTCACTTGATAAAATTATTTTAGTTTTACTCTAAATAATATTGATCGTCTTTTTCAGCGAGCTTTATAATACAGTTTTTTGTATTATCATTATTGATTGGCATACCACTATTCACATTATACTTATGTTTGGGCCAAGTACTAGAGTCGGGCCCTGTGGATATGTGGAGAATATCGCCCATATTTCAAGGAGTTGGGGTGTCATTGCTCATCATACAAGCAGTATTGGGTGTCTATAGCATAATAGGACTGTCGTGGATATTCGTGTACTTCAGAGACTCTTTTATTACGTCAGATGACAAATACAAATGGGCACTCCCACACGATTACAGTTTAGAAGGTGAGTGCATTAATTATTCAACTTCCGTCCCGGTCTATTGATGAAAAAATGTCGATATCAAACTTGACTAACGGAAGTGTAGTCGTGAAGGTCGTTCCATCTAAACAATTACTTTTTGCCGACCCAGATACAGATGCAAGTTTACTGATTGATTTCTGGTACAATTACAGAGCCTGGCACAAAAAACGGCACATTCAAGATACAGGAGTCTTTGCCGCAGTATTTCCAAGGGGAGGTGCTACAAAGGAACATCGGGTCCAATACCTCGAATTTCGGCTCAATAAAGTTTCAAGTCGCATTCAATTTAGCTGTAGTGTGGATGATTGTATTCGTCTCTCTTAGCAAAGGGTTGCGGTCATATGGAAAGGTAAATGCTGTGTATATCGCAGATGTTAGTGTAGTATAAACAATTCATTAGTTACTTATTGTTTAACTAAACGAACAAAGTGTAATAAAGTGGTTTTTGTTCTCTTTCACTTTTTTACCCTAGATGGAAAAATAAAACATGTTTCACACATGTATCTGTCTGTTCTGTGGCATCGTAATCAACGAAAATTTACAGCTTGAGTATAATTTTTGATCAAGAATCGCGCATTCGACATCAAACGGTTGAATTAATTTTTTAATTGTTAACAAAGATGATTGATTTAATTTAATAATTTATTATCCGTACTCACGTAAACATGTCATAATATATTATAAGTACTACGTAAATCGTACCGTAATGTAAGATCGCATATTATGTTTTATTTATTACATTACCTTGAATTGTTTCAGGCTGTTTACATGCTGATATTTTTGCCCATATGCGGCACGCTTGTGTTATGCACGAAATTACTTACGCTCATTCCGTACGATACTGTGACAAATATTTTCTCTGAGACTGAGTGGAGTGAATTCTTTATCAACAGTAACGTAAGTATTTCGAACACATTTTTTTAAGGAAAATTGAACGTTTTCTGTTTGAATTTACGGTTCAAATTTTACAGAGTTGGGCAGCGGCGGCTCAAGAGATATTCTTAACTTGGGGGTTATTAGGAGCGTGTATAATGCAGTTAACATCGCACAAAAATGCCAAGAACAAGACTAGTTCTATGCTGCAAAAGGAGAGCGCGTGCATCGTGGCCTTCACCTTCGCGGTTCTGTTGTTGGGTGCATTCCTCGCGAACACTTGTGTGCAAATATTGAAGAACTACGGCTACGTTTACATACCTGGCAGTTATGGTAAATTATACAGAATTTATTCAGTTTTACAGTACAATTTTGCTTGAAACATGAGGTTAAAAATGCGCAATTACAAATGATATGTTAAAGCTAAATGAAAAACTATGCGCTAGTTTTTTCGCGTCCATTGTTATGTTGAAAAAATGAATAATTACGATTAATAACTTGATTAGATTTCTTTTTTACGAAGTATTTCTAATGAGGAAGATGAGTGTAATTATTTTATAATGTAAAAAGATAAAACATAAAATATAAAAAATATTAGTGAAAGAATTTTTTCGATATCTCAAAAACTGAATTTTCTATGGGCATTCAAAGTTGGATGTTTTAAAAATCAACTCGCTCTTGACCGTTTAGCGCGTGACGTCACACCGCCCGTTACCTCCGCCGGGATGGCATTGCTCCTTCGCGCGCTCATGGACTCGTACAGTCATTTCGAGTTTTATAGAATTATGGAGTAAAAAATACCATGCAGATATTGTATAGTAACCCTTTTATACTAATTAATACAATGGTTAGTGCCCCAGAAAATTACTTTTAAAGCTAAGAAAAGCTGATAAATACATAAATGGTGTAAGTTAACGAAAAGGGAGAAATCGTTATCTACAAAAACCAGTCGATATTATTGCAAAAATCATTTTAATGCGAGTACCTACCTAAAGACAAAACACCTACCATTGTATATTTTTCATTACACATTTTTTATAAAGTATTTTAGTGACATTTTATTTGAAACAGTAGACAAAAAATAGAGAAACAAAACACGAGGCACGCACGCAGATGGGTTACTTAAAAAGTAAATTGAATCCTTTGAAACTTTAAAGACAATAAGACAAAACTAAAAACTCTCTACCTACTTTAGCCCTTGTTATTGACTATGTTTTATAGTGGTAAAATAATGTTGTCGCTTCTTTGAGTTATCGATAAAAATCTATACGAACAAAATGTATTAACACATACTTTTCATTCTTGTGACAATCCGCCTGTTACCTTGCAAGTTTTAGCACTTGGATTTCTGCAATAATATAGGTACTTTGCATGTTTTCTGAAAGTATCCGCAACCATAAGTAAATCTACTTTCGGAAGATTATTTGGTTGGCATCAGATACGGTTAATATAAATAAAAAATGTATCGAAATGAACGAAAATAAGTTTACAGAGCGCAGCTAGCACCCGCGCCGCCCGTCCGTCGTTGCCCAACGAGCGGTGTGACGTCATCGCCCGTATTCCAGGGGTGCTATCAGTTTTCGCGCGTTCCCATATTGATTTGCTTATAAAATATTCAATTTTCGTGATATCAACAAAATTTTTTCACAGTTAGTTTTATTTTAGCTTAAAGTTTTTGTTAGGGCTGAAAAAGGGGAATAAATTTTGATTTACATCTTCCTCATTGTTTTACAAACCATGTGCATTAGTATAGTTATTAATTTAGACTCGTATCAATCATTAATTTTGTTCAAATTCTACTCATATTATGACCGTGATCTTCATCATCATCGTCTTACCTGATGTTGGTGTGTGAAGTTGCAGTCGTTAGGTGGTATAACGTACTAAGTAAATTCCTATGAATCTTTTATTTCCGATATTTGTTTTGCAGAAACGGTTAAATCATCGCAATTTCTGTGGCCGATGTCAGAACCAATGCCAGGGAACGTGGTTTCAACGCCAGTACGCTACATGGGCCACTATAGCAGCTTGGTCGGGGTGACGGTGTGGAAGAATGGCAACACCGCTCGAACTATCAGCGGGTGGCAACCGCTGCAGCTGGCAACACAGGTCGTGCCGGCTACGCTTGCAGTGTTGCCCGCTAACGTTGTGAGTATTCATTTAGAAACAAAAAATATTGATGAAATTGTCATTGGCGGCTTGCCTAAAAACGAAGTAACCAAAAAATTCGCTTTTCAGAAGAATAATAATATAATCGCCAAACACCTTAGTTTAACATGAGATTGAGCAATAATAAAGCCAGCGATTTTATACATACATTATAACAGAACAGAAGTTTAACATAATTATGTAGTTTATAAGTGAGACGTCTATGAAAATAATGTGACTCGTCTTTAATATACATAATACATATCGAATAGCTAACTACTTACCGTAACCAGTTTCCTCTCTAACGCACCTGGTATTGTTAAAACACGTTTTGTAGTAAATTGCCGCTTTAAATACCGTCACGCGAGCGTGTCAAACATAATTATGGCTATTAATAAACGGATCTAGAATTCGTTTCGTATAATTATAATTTGTGTAATATCTCTCTACACTCACGTTACGACTAGTTTACTAATTAATCTCTCATCTGCGAATTTAGCGACATAGCACGGTATTTACCCCCTTACTAATAAAAAGTTACACAGTTGTTGAACACTGGTTTAAAATGACATTTCCATACTAAATGTCACTTTAAAACACTGTTCAACGAGAGTGTAAGTTTTATTAGTAAGGGGGTTAGTCTTTATTTGACTGCATTTTCTTTTAACGTAGCATACCATTGTCACTAAGCTTCTCCATCTATGAGACACGTTGTGCTCTTCTTATTTTAGGAGTCACAAAATACACAAATAATGATCTCTTCGTAGTATCATCAGTATCATTTAATTAAATTAACCGATATACCTGCGATCAAAATTATGAGTCCAGTTTGTTAATACGAACGTAATTAGCTGGTAATCTGCTATCAAGCGGTAAAGCCTGATGCACAGCTCGAGTTTATAATATGGCGCCATATTATACGTTTCCATTGACATGACATAGTAATTCCTTCATTAATGTGTATGTGTAATTCATATAATTATGATGACAGGGATTTAATTTAAAAATAGCATTAAAAATGGCTGTTAAAATTTCTAAACGAAACGTAGAACTCGCATTAGTAGTGTGCCAGAGGCTCAAATGCATACTGCGAGTATAAACAACTTCAGGTTAATATTTCAGACAACCTGAGTATTAATTAATGTTGCAAATGTACATTTAAACTTACTGCTTGGCGCTTTGCATTATAGAACAATGCATTTATTAATATTATTTAAATTGATTTCAAAACATTGATAAATATTGGCTCCCTTTGGACTTCAATCCAACGCCAGCTAGATTGTGATAAGGATTACTTGGAAAATGTGATATTAATTTTAAACCAAATAACTATTTTTGTATTATGCTAGTATTAAAATTATTCCCAAAGTTATAAAAAAATTCGCGCCACACTGCGCGGCATTAGCCAAGACTTTTAGTTGGCCGATAGTTTAATCGGGCTTTTAAACAGTATGTACAATAGGCTAGTTTCCTAAAAAATTTTTTTTAGTCCGTCATGTTTAATATCAAAAAATATTGGACACATATATTTTTATTTGTCAATCTAACAAATAATTACATAGTTATGGTGCGACGTCACAACGTGCGGCACTTTTATGCAAGCATTAACGTCACGGGCCTCTTCTTATGAACTTTGGCGCGCTTTATCTCTTTAAATTTTCATTAGTTTGAAAAAGTGAAAAATACGTGTAGAGTATTTTTGATAAGTTAACTGACGGACTAATTAAAACTCTTGCTTTTTGACCCAGGAAACATCCCTATTGTACATGTAACTACTTAATACGTGTAAATCAGCCTTTATTTATACCGATNTACCGATTTGGTATCAGCCGATTCTTCATACAAATTTGAATTGGGCCCAACTAAAAGTGTAGTCTGGGCCTAGACTTTTAAGATAAGCCTTTAGAATTTGAATTCCTGTTTCAGCTGTCCCCAGCATGGGCGGTGATCTTCTACTTCATCCTGATAATGTTCGGCATCGCGCAGCAACTTGCCATATGGCACTGCGTCATCACAGGCGTCATGGCAATCAACGCGCACGCGCTGCGGGTTTGGGAAACTACCATCACGTTCCTAAGCTGCGTATTTGGACTGGCTATGGGATTGCTGATCAGCACTGATGTGAGTTTAGTCTTTAGAGCTTGGAGATACGACGATACGTAAACTTCTGAACATATAAATAAATAAATAAAATTAATATCTTTTGGACATTTTACACTGCGCTTCTAGTCCCAAACTAAGCAAAGCTTGTACTATGGGTACTAGACAACGGAAATAAACATACTTAAATACTTTTTTTTTGTAAATACATACTTATTATACATAGAAAACACCCAGTCCAATACAAACAAATACATATTTATGTTCATGCACACAAATGTTTGTACTGTGCGGGAATCGAACCCGCTATCTCCGGAATAGTAGTCCGTTTCGAACCACTACACCAAACGGCCGACAATAGGCCTCCCCCAATGATTTCCACAGTCCAGTTGCCAGTAAATCCAGCGCCTTGCTGCTATCTCCATGAAGTCGTCAGTTCACCTTGCGGATGAACGTCCCACGCTGCGTTTCGGTTTCCATTTCAGACCGTTGCTGCCCCATCGGCCGTCAGTTCTGCGTACTATGTGCCCGCCCATTGCCACTTCAACTTGCTAATCCGTGTTTTTGTTTATCTTGAATAAACTGGTATTAGATTACGTAACTGTATGCTAGTGAGGCAAATACAGTAGCGATCAAATTAGGCTTTGGTTTTTGACAAGCAAATTCTTTGTCCACAGGCCGGCATAAAGATAGTCCACTTCATAGACTACGTGTGGACCGGCTCGTGGTGGCAATGCGTGATCCACATCGCGCTGGTTTGCGGCGTATTCGTGGTCCGCGGCCGGCCCTATTCTCCAGATGTCGTGGTCGCGGCGCTATACTCGTCCCGGAACAGATTGTCGGCCACGCTCGCCGCGCTACTGAGCTTCACGTGGACTGTGGTGCTGCCGGTGTTATTGTGCGTGAGTATCGCTGCTAGACTTGTGGTTGTGGTCACGCGCTACTCGCCAGATGTCGTGGTGGCGGCGCTATACTCGTCCCGGAACCGACTGTCGGCCACCCTCGCCGCGCTACTAAGCTTCACGTGGACTGTGGTGCTGCCAGTGTTGTTATGCGTAAGTATCGCCGCCAGATGTAGTCCACACGCTACTCGCTCGAAGTCGCGGCGCTATACTCGTCCCGCAACCGACTGTCGGCCACGCTCGCCGCGCTACTGAGCTTCACGTGGACTGTGGTGCTGCCGGTGTTATTGTGCGTGAGTATCGCTGCTAGACTTGTGGTTGTGGTCCACACGCTACTCGCCCGAGGTCGTGGTCGCGGCGCTATACTCGTCCCGGAACCGACTGTCGGCCACGCTCGCCGCGCTACTGAGCTTCACGTGGACTGTGGTGCTGCCGGTGTTATTGTGCGTGAGTATCGCTGCTTGACTTGTGGTTGTGGTCCACGCGCTACTCGCCAGATGTCGTGGTCGCGGCGCTATACTCGTCCCGCAACCGACTGTCGGCCACGCTCGCCGCGCTACTGAGCTTCACGTGGACTGTGGTGCTGCCGGTGTTATTGTGCGTAAGTATCGCTTACAGCTAGTCAGTTTTACGGAGGCATTTATCGATTTTAAACGATAAGCCCATACATTAGTCGTCGAAAATCTTATACGACGATAAGATTATATCGTGACACGCATCCTAGACCGGCTGACGTGTGGTCCGCGCGCTACTGGCTCGACATCGTGGGCGCGACCCTTTACTTTAACGAGAATTTAAAAGCATTAGCCGGTCCAATCAATTTAGTTTTTTTAAATTACCTATGTCTGTTTTATGGCTTCCATTTCATTTCAGACCATCTGCGTCATGGATTTCCGTGTGGGGCAACAGCGTCAACTCTACAGCTGGCGAAAACAAGCTGGGTAAGTTCTGCATGATTTCTTGTTCATATATTATGGTAAATAGACTGAGAAATAATACTTTTAATTAAGCCAAAAGTAAACCCGAAGCCAGAATGTTAACAATCATGTTTTTTCTTATAGATATTGGCCGATATGGACCCGTCAACTTGCCGTAGCGTTACAACAAGGATCTCTTCTATTGATCCCCGTAGCCGCATTCGTACAAACATGGCGCTACATGAACAAAGGACCCCCAGATATACTAGAGGTGAGATTCAAGGCTTGTTTGTCTCTTTCACTCAAGTTGAACCCGAAATGAGAGTGAGAGAAATGGATATTGAAATAATCACGCACATTTAAAAATCCTGCTAATTTTACTTCATGTATTTAGGCTGGTACTAACTTGTAATGCATATTTAAGATATCGCCTGGTCTGAAATCTACCTATCTCTTTCTACTTTTCTTACTTTGATTAGTTACTAGTTACTACAATATGATCTATTAGCTATTTGTTTCTAACTTTTAAATTACTAACTTAGTTGCTTGCTGTAAACTCTTTTTAATTTTATGCTGCTAGGATTTTGGAACTAGTAATTGCACGGAAGAAGTGGTAAGTTTTTATAATATTAAACTGTTATGAGTGAATGTGAGGGATTTATTGGCAAAAAATTTATAAACCTGTCACTTGTTTTAGTTGCGAACCCCGAGAGAATGTTTGCTCTAAACGCCCACTCTTACAAAGTAAATTATATTTTTAACTCTTGGGTCCCCGTCATATTAAAAAAAAAATTTAAGGCCCGGTTTCTACCAAAGCGGAGCGGATCGGAGAAGTGTTTTGAATAACTAATCAGATTTCATTATTTCCATTTCTCTTTACCGCCCCGCGCCGCCGTCAAATTTTATAGAAAAAACGTATGGCCGCTTTATCTCCGCTTTTGGTGGAAACCGGCCCTAAGTCCACCATCACCAAAGAACAATAGGCTAGTTTCCTAAAAAAAATTTTTAGTCCGTCAATTTTAATATAAAAAAATATTCGACACGTATATTTTTAATTGTCAATCAAACAAATAATTATAGTGCGTTGAAGTTCCGCGCGACATCACAAAGTGCTGCACTTTTACGCACTCTGACGTCACGGGCCTTTTTTTAGAACTTTGGCACGCTTTATCTCTTTACATTTTCATTAGTTTTAAAAAGTGAAAAATACGTGTCGAGTAGTTTTTGATAAGCTAACTGACGGACTAATTAAAAATTTAAAACTCTTGCTTTTTTACCCAGGAAACACATCCCTATTGATGTTGCCTTTAATGTTGTGATGCAAACTTAGTTTTTGTGTCCAAAGTTTACCCTAACCATCGCACGTCCCCAGCGCATCCAAAACCTATACCGGCCTCGTATGGGCGCGGACACCAGCCCGCCGCCCGTGGGGCCGCGCCCGGCCCGTGCTGCGCCCGCGCCCGATCCGCCGCCCAAATACACGCCCCCGCCTTCGTATTCTACTGCCACGGGGGCGCGCCTGCTTAATACTATTAGGAGAAGCTTCAGGACCTTGAGAAGGTAAGATTTACTTGTCAAAAAACCCCTTTCTTCTCAAAAACTCAACCCGTCTGCAAGACCTTCAAGAAACATGCCCCTCTTTGAGTAACTAAGCTGGATTTCAACTGGATCTGTAGTAGTGTTGCCGATCGATAGTCGACTATCGATAGACTATCGATAGTCTATCGATAGTCAAACTATCGCAAGACTATCGATTGGCCTATCGATAGTATCGATACTGTCGATACTATCGATACTATCGATAGCTCAAAACGAGGCAATACTATTGAATATGTGCAATACTATCGATACTATCGATAGTATTGTTGCTCGTGAAGAATAAACTATCGATAGTATCGATACTATCGATACTATTGTCGCTTTTGAATAAAAAGCTATCAATACTATCGATAGTATCGATACTATCGATTGTTCTAGACTATCGATAGTTTGGCAATTTACAATAGTATCGTTTACAATATTTGGGTATAATAGTCAATAGGCACAACAATAGGGTTATTGGAATACTTGAATTATTTCATGTAGTTAACCATAACATTTAATTATGTGTTTCCAAAATTGGCAATACATTTTATTTGCCGTACTTAACTAATGCAGGTAGTTTTAAATACAAGTGAGATCATTATTTTTAGTTATAAGTTAGTTGGTAAGTCAAGCGAAACATTTGAAATATTGTAAAAATGAATTTAAACATACCCAATACTATTGCAAATTTACAGACTATCGATAGTCTAGAACAATCGATAGTATCGATACTATCGATAGTATCGATAGCTTTTTATTCAAAAGCGACAATACTATCGATAGTATCGATACTATCGATAGTTTATTCTTCACGAGCAACAATACTATCGATAGTATCGATAGTATTGCACATATTCAATAGTATTGCCTCGTTTTGAGCTATCGATAGTATCGATAGTATCGACAGTATCGATACTATCGATAGGCCAATCGATAGTCTTGCGATAGTTTGACTATCGATAGACTATCGATAGTCTATCGATAGTCGACTATCGATCGGCAACACTANGGAAGATCGGAGGGGATCTGTTTAATGAGGCCCATACGGGTCACGTTGTACGTCGGGATTGTTGCTGAGTACTTGCAAAGGGATAGAATCTCGCTACTCAAAAATTTGTTGGCAGCACTGGCAGATGTGAACTCAACAGAGATTCTGTTTCTCCCAATTTTTTTGATACCATCGTTGATCACGTCCTTAATTTTGTTATTGACCAAAAATTTTCCAAACCTAATTGGCTGGATGAAAGTTGGGGCATTAGGCTCGGTTTCGATGCGGGACACGTGGACAATAAAAGGGCCTTTGTCAAGGTCACTGTAGACTTTTGGTGCGATAACAAGAGATGGGTGCGTGTACACCGGTTGGCTGCTTGGAGATGACATTGCAGCAGAAGGGTTGTTGGATCTCTTCGCGGGTTCAGAAGGAACCTCCGAATCCAGGCGGCGTTTTGTTGCGGCTTGGGAAAACAGTGGTTGAGAAATGTCCATTGAACAGGAGGCCGGATCCGGAGGATCCGGGGGATCGGGAGGAGTTAATTCCATTCTACTTACTGTTTTACCAGATAAATCCGTCACCTGTTGTTACTTATTAAAATAACTAAGCTTAAAATTGAGTTTTTTTTTTGAGTTAAACTACGTTAGAATTTGATTTTTCCACTTAAACACCTGAAACACGTGTTGCCACTGTCACATGCGGCGAGCGAAAAACTAATTATTTTAGGTAGGCTTCATTAAATTACTTTAAGTATACCTACCTACCTTAAGTTTTTCTAAATTACAGAGCAACACAAAGTAATACTATGTAGGGTAGATTTCAATCATCACCATTAAGTATAATTTTAGCCTGTCTGACCCACCATAGATTGAACCCAGGACCTTTAATAGTACCTCAAACTATATTGTTACTTACGTGCTTTGTGTCGATTACCTAAATAGGTAAATGGGTATTTTCGAATTAGGTCTGACGAGTAGGTAGCGGTATAATTTATATATCGAAAGATTATGAGTCATATCGGCGACAGCAGATGTAGGCTCCGCTCCTACCATGCTCCTTACACACAATATTAAATGGGTTGAAATACCTTGTAGCTTTCACCAAAAAATATACTTAGGAATATTTATATTATCCTTATTTGCTTGGATTGCTTTGCGTTGCGTATACTTTTTATTATTACCGTGCTATAGATCCTACCCATAAAGTTAATATTTAACTTTATGATCCTACCTTACTATTATTATTATGCCTCCCTACCTTCATAAATATACTTACAAGATCGCAGTTTTCAGAAAAAAAATACATTTTAAGTACCTATTTAAAAAATATCTTCAACTAAATAAATGCAGCAATTTTCATATATTTCACGAGTCTCATATTGACCGCACGCATCTCGTGCGTGAGTGCCAAAAATTGCGGAGATCCATTTCGAAATGTATTCATCAATAAAGCAAAAAAATTAATTTAAAAAAATCCAGAATAACTAATTAATTTAATTTCTAAGCCCTTTACATCTAAAATGTTTAAAAATTATAATAATACCTATACTCCTAACTCCTGTCTTGCAGTAGGATTAGTTGCCCGTTTTTAGTTATTCATTTTCAAGGGATACCCTTGATAATAATCAAACAACTGGATAATACTGGTAGCTAATATCATATACTTAAATGCCTAAATTCATACGCTCTAGAGAATATCGCCATTGCCATTTGACTAGTATTTTAATTTTCTTCTTCAATTAATTTTAATCTTCTCTCAAACAGCTCCTTGTTCAATCTGTGCATACACAAGAATCTTCCATTGAGGAAAAGTACAGGGATGTCATGCCTATACAGACGCAACCACCTTAGATTTTCTTTCTCTGTTATGTCTACTTTTTCAATAGTAATTCTGCTTTTGTAAGGTTCTAATTCTTCCATAACTATGTCACACAGTGGACATGGATTTGTTGTATAAAATGTCAATACAGGTGGCCCATCTAAGGCTTGAGGTCTGGAAAGAAAATTAAATTCTCTCAAACAAAAATAATTAATTTATTTATATCCAGACCATTTCCTTACAGTTACATTTCATACATATTTACAGGTGATAAAGATTGTTCCATAAAATACTAAATCAATAACAAAGTCATAAAAACATATTACACTCAAAAGGTATAAACTTCATCTATTCACACAAACAAAATTGTTACTGTCATACAGTAGTGACTACCACAATAATGCAAATTATCTTATAAAGGCACAAGTAGCAGTTATAAAATTGTTATTGAGCAGCCAATNTCGATAGTTCGGCAACACTAATCTGTAGAGATAAACTCACTCGCACTCTTTGTGGTTCGAGAAGCACCCCCATCCTCTTACTCCACTGCCACGATGGCGCGCCTGCTCCGGACCTAAAGAGGTAAGTTTCTTTACAAGAGAAAAAGGCACACTTTCTTTCTGTCATGAAAACCATATTTCTCGAGATGGGGCTATTCTTCTTCTTTCTTCGCCGCAACTTCAGCCAGACTGCTGAAAACAACGAGAAGCTTCCAGACGTTGAGAAGGTAAGCTGGATTTCAGGTTTCCTTAGATACTAGCACATTTAGTTGTCTCTGTCAAGAAGACAGAAACGGTCGTGCACGAGTCAGCTAAACAGTTGCGCGCCGCCTTCCTACTGCAGCCCGCCGCCCAAGTACACGCCCCCGCCTTCGTATTCTACCGCTACGGGGGCGCGCCTGCTCAATACTATTAGGAGGAGCTTCCGGACCTTGAGAAGGTAAGAGTTTCCTTATGAGAGAAGAAAGCACACTTTGTTGTCACTATTAGCCACAAAGTACACGCCTCCGGACCTTGAGAAGGTAAACAAAGCTAGATTTGAGGCTCCCATAGTGGGATACAGGCACACTTCATTGTCCCTGTCAATAAGAACCCTTTTTTACGAGAACGCCGCCCAAGTACACGCCCCCGCCTTCGTATTCTACCGCTACGGGGGCGCGCCTGCTCAATACTATTAGGAGGAGCTTCCGGACCTTGAGAAGGTAAGATGTAAGAGAAAAAGGCAAGACAAGAACAATCGCGCCCGACCCAACGCTCAATTCACGCTCCTGTCTTCTTACTCTAGCGCCACGGGAGCGCTATTAGGAGAAGCTTTCAGATCTTGAGAAGGTAAGCAAAGCTAGATTTGAGGCTACCATAGTGAGATACAGGCACACTTCATTGTCCCTGTCAATAAGAACCCTTTTTCACGAGAATGCCGCCCAAGTACACGCCCCCGCCTTCGTATTCTACCGCTACGGGGGCGCGCCTGCTCAATACTATTAGGAGGAGCTTCCGGACCTTGAGAAGGTAAGCAAAGCTAGATTTTAGGCTCCCCTAAAAAGAAAAAGGCTTCTTTCTCGTCTCCCTTTTCACAAGAAAGCCCGCACCGGAATCGCCGCACACTTCCTTGTCTCTCACGACGTAACCACAACGTATGGAGGTATAGCAGAAGACTAAAAGGGGAGCTTTTAGTCTTCTGCTACGGGCGCTCGTCTGCTCAACACTATTACTTTCGGAACTGAGGAGGTAAGCAGACTGGACTTTTCTCTGTGAAGAAGACACTTCAACAGCCTCACCGTCTTCTTCTGGAACCTATCTACTCAACACCATCACGAGAAACTTTTCAAAACTGGAATTTAAGAGTACGCCATACTTCGCAGTTCGAAAATACTCCTTTTTTATTCAAGAACAGCCTCGCCTTCGCTACATGAGCCAGACTGATAGAACCACGGAGGTCTAAGATATTTTCAAGCTATAAAAAATAAAAAACCATGTATAAAGTCTGTTCGCCGAGAGTTGATAAATATTATGAAATGTCTTGCAATAGCGACTGTCGCTTAAGTATCGCATTCTGTATGGCGGGCGTCCTTTGTCACAACTCACACTGAGTACCATGGTACGAGCCACGCAGCTGTCGTCAAGCGCCCCGGCCGGCGGGCCGCAATGTGTGAAACGTAATAGATTTATTTTACATAAGACCGAAAT